GGGTTGCCATATATTTTATAAACTGTGATCAGGACATTGTATGGATAGCCCAGCATTTAAAATGCTTTGGAAATATTTTTTAGTTTTCTGTTCTTTTGAAGCATACATCATTATTCAGACAGTAATACAGGTTTCTCTAAATCACCGTTGTTTTTTGTTTTTTACCAGAGACATTACCAGCTTCAAAGGAAAGCCTTTTTTCTGCTGGAAAGACGATGGGGATAATTGTGTACATGTTTTGCTTTCTATTTTTCTGTAGATTAACCTGTTTCTGTTGGTTATATTATACACCTATAATATGTGTGTTCCTCATTGTCCCGTCTACCTATTTGAATCTGCTGAGGTGAAGCCACGAATTGTCAGTGAGATGACTGATTGGCTTACAGCTGCTCAGCTTGCCTTGTTGCTACGGGGGCTTTGACCCAGATAAACATTTAGAGGATGAATGGAAGGTTAGATGGATAGAAATGTGAGTGTGAGGCCTTCTCTGCACATTTTCCCTTCCCGTGAATCATTCTTACAGCCCACAGAGTAACAGGAGCGAAAGATGTTTTTTTGCATGGCTGACTTCAGAAGCAAAGGATCCCCCCACAACGATGGCAGTGGTATCTTTTTTGGCTAAAGATGATAAGTAAAGTGAAAAATTGCCTACTCTTTTTGCTGTAAAAAAAATATCTACAGGTTTTCAAGATTTAAAATACTGCTGCATTTCAATCAATCTGGTTTCATTTGGTTTTAATGTTGTAACTGAAGAATACTATTCTGTGTGGTAAAAAAAATCATGGATCTGGGTCAAACAGAACTTTCACTAAGCATGTATGATCAAGTTGTAAGAATAAAGACAGAGGAAGAATGTCTTATATACAAGTAGAATGGTTGTTGTCTTCATGCCTGCATGATATAAATGACAAAGGTCGATATAATAAACACCATCTGGCTAAGTACACAGCATGCTGAGAGAGAGAACGGCATGAAGCAAGGCAAATCAAGAGGGTGGAGATGTGGAGGAACAGGAGATGTAGAGAAGTGATGTAGAAAAGTAAGAGGAAGAGAGATGAAAGCAGATGGTTGGAGAGACTGAGAAAAATGGGGATTAAAATCACAGTATGTTTGATTATTAAGGGATTTGTGACAAAGAACACAATCCCATGTAGAGATAAGCCAGGATATGCTTGGTTAAAAAGAAAATATGTTGTGCAAATTCAAATAAAAGCTTATTCATAAACCCGACAAGCACTAAAGCGGCAGAAACAAGAGCAGTTTGATATTTTTCAAACACAAAAAATGCATGAGGAGACGATTTTAGGCTTTCACCTCTGTGCATCATGCTAGATATCAGTAAGATATTTTTTTTCATTTTTCAAAGCACTTTCTCTTATAATAACTGTGTCTCACAGTATGCTTCTGTTAATAACCAGTAATCACTTAGATAATTTCCGAAAGTCCTTTGATTCAAACGATTGGGTAAACTACAAAGCTCACATTTGCTATTCTGGATTCCAGGTCAAATTGGCCAGAACTCTCAGACATGACAGTAACCTGGAGTATTACAGTTGGAGTCCTCTGGATCAGCACTTTGACTTATTTGAAAAATGTGATGAGGATTCATGACGCCATACTTTAATTCATCAGTGCTGCCAGATGCCTACTCCGAAGTCTCTAAGATTTCCTCTCGTTTGAAAAATGAGCCAGGCACACAGATTATTGCCATACTTTCCTAGATTAAAATGAGGAACTGCAGGGTGTTAACCAGGGCTGAACAAGTTTTATTAAATTAATGCAACAAAAAACTCAGTCAGAATGAATACATTCTTTCAAATTTCCCCCTGCCCTTTTGCTGCACACATATTTGTTTGTTTTCACAAACAGTATGTTGTAAAAATCTGTAACCCCAGTGATAGAACAAGGAGCTCCATCATCCAAAAGGGCAGCTCAGAGTGGAGTCAATGCTCCTCTGTATCCTAAGGAGTAGGAGTGGTCCCACTGGCAGTATGTAGCACCAATATTTGCTGAACAAAAACCCTTTCTGGCAAGAAACACTTTAAACCACTCCAAATGAGCTGGGTAGCGTCCCGAGGGAAAGATTTTTGGGTTCCATTATGGGCCAATTAGCTGTGAAGGATATGTTAATGTTTACTTTAAGTGCAAGATTAAATTAGTAATATTTGACAAATTTAGCATTAATAAAATAATTGACTGATAGGTATCAAATGTCAAAGAATGAGTACAAAAGCTTTATTGTTACATTTTTAATCCAAACTGCATTTTCACGATAGAAGCATTTTTACAGCTTTTTGTGTTACTTACTTAAACCATAGATAATCTTTATCTTTTTTTAACTCCCAATATAAAACCAAAAACTGCTAAGAATGTAATGCTGAGACTGCAAATAGCTCCATTGAATTCCTGTTTCTTCGAAGAAGAAACTGCTAGTTATATGTCTGAACATGCAATTAAAGTGTTTATTATCTGAGGTAGCTTCTTGTGGCTTACAGGAAAGGCAAAGACAAGACAAACCATGACCGTGTTCAAACAGATCACTCATTATTTATGCTGTTTCAACTCTGGATGCTTTACTCACGCATACTTCTGCAAAGATAACAGTTTAAGATTGTTTAATCATCTGATAAGCTTGAATCTGTTAATAAACTCATCTTTCTAGATTCTTTTCTTCATGTCTAAACTAGTTCAACACGCTCCAAATGCTGCTGTAGTTCTAATTCTGGGAACCCCTAACAACCACTGCCTTTTGTTTCAGTTTGTCAGTTTTAAAACTGGTATAAGACCTCAATAAAAATAATTTACTCATTCAGCTGGTTTCAAAACTTTACTCAAAAAAGATTAATAAATATTCATTTTTCTTGTGTAAACAGATCATATAAAAACAATCTGATTTTCCTGAAGACATTCACTAAAATGTTGTAATCAGATTAGAAATGGAACAAAGTCAAAGCTCAAGTTCTACAATTATACAGCAGACAGGTAATGGAGGTTTGGAGGTTTTTTCAAATCCATGTAAAGGAAATTACAAAATAATGTTATTTAATTTAACTTTTTAATTTGGACTTTTTGATAAATTATCTGCTGTTTTTTTTTTCAAATTAAACAGTCTTTTTTATTGAAATAATAGTAACTATTACTTATGCTCGATGAATAACATCCCCACATGTTTGTTCTCATTCAAAATGAGGTTTTAGAAACTATAGCAGTTTGAACAATAGATAGATATCAGTTTATATCTCCTCTAGAGAAGCCTGTAATTTGTTGCATGTCACTGGGTGATAAGATGAGATATGCTTTCTACCTGCACTCTGTCAGGTAGTATGCCTTGGAGCTGGCTTTAATCATTTCTGCTCATGATTTAACATTAGAATCTGCAAATACGTCTCCTATCTCACCCAGTGTCATTTTTATGTTTATGTCATAACTTGGAGAAGTTTAAATCATGACTGGGAGAAAAAATCTAACCTGCACCAGAAAAGCAGTGGAAACCAAAGGATATGGATGGATGGATGGATGGATGGATGGATGGATGGATGGATGGATGGATGGATGGATGGATGGATGGATGGATGGTTGGTTTGTGGTAACATTTCCATCCTTAGTTTAGCTCAGTCTGTCATCTATAGTTGTTTTGGAGGGGAGAAAGGGCATTGTTGATTTTTGCCTGTTTTTTTTTTTCCTGTAATATCTGTTTGATCACCTCCTTCAGGGTATCAAGCTTAGTGCAGACAACAGACAACTTAGCCTTTTTTTAGTTTGCTTTGTCTGCTGGGATCCTTAAATCAACTATGAATAAAACATCTGGGGCATTCAGCTGCATAAAACCAAGTGTATCATATTTGATAAATGAGTTTTTAAGACTTCTTCATCATCAGTGTGATATTTTTGTTCTTTAAAACCCTGACTAACACAATCAGACACATGTTCATGCAATTTCTATCAGTTATTTTAACTCTCCAGGCTTTAAAGGGTTAAAGGAGAATTCCGGTTTTTAACACTTTTAGCCCATTTTCTGTAGTGTCCAGTATGAAATCGAATGATCGACACCAAAATTTTGACAATTGGTCCTGTCTCTGCTTTTTGGCTCATTTAGAATCCACCCCTGGCTGCTTCAGAATGGCTTCCATAGTGCATGTCCGATAATGTCCTTAAAACAACCTTAAACGTTCTTTTTTTTAAAATATGCTACTCACCGGGTCGTCAGCGCTGTTCAATGACGTTCCAAAAAAAAGTTTCGTAAAGAAAAAACGTTCCTGTAGTGTTTTATTTAGCATTTTGTAAATCCCATTGAGTTCTGTTGGAATAGTCAATATTCCCCTGCCACCGGAAACGGAAATGGGGCCTGTTTACACAGTTGTAGTCTTTTCGCTTCACTCTTACGTGTACTCCGACGTCGAGGTGCTAACGTCTCTGTTAAACACTTTAAAAAACTCTGAAAATGGAATACGAAAGGTGGATTCTTGATTCTCGACGTCGGAGTCTTTCTCTGGTGTCAGTTGATTAGTCCAGTTAATTGTCCAGCAGAATGTCCATTTAACTGCAGGGCATCACAATCAAATCTAAATGAAGAGAGGATTCTCTTAACACCATCTGAAAAAGCAATGCCCTGCAGAGTATAAAATCATTCCATATACTTGTCCTCAACAGGGAATTTTTTTTGCATCACATCATGTTAGAAATGTTTACTGAGAAATGTTAACCAAATTTTGAGATTACAAAATCTTGGCCAACATCTAGTTCTTGCGATGTTAATACTGGATTTCAAGTTTAAAATGCAATCAACCAACAAGCAAGTAAATCTATATTCACTATTTGAACAATTAAAAGGCAACTTAACTATGTCACCAAAAGCAACAGATTTACAGTTATTGGAAATGTATGCTCACATATCTTTTTCAAAACCAAATAAAAAGGAAAGAAATGGATTCTGCAATCCAGTTTTGCATAAACTACTTTATTCGTTTTACTTTGAAGTTCTACTGTTCATTTTTTATTAGGAGGTGATGAAGACAAAGACTTTGACATCCAGAGGAATTCAGGAACCATCACCATCGCCAGAAATCTCAATGCGGCTCGACGCTCAAACTACAACCTGACAGTGGAGGTCACTGATGGCCATCGCAGCGCCACGACGCAGGTTAAACGATCCCCCCCACACACACACACACATACCACACCACACACACACCCAAAAAGAAAGAAAAAATAATGAGACGAAAAACAGCAAAATTTTTAGCCTCTGTAAACAAAACAGTATGATTGAAACCTTCATTAAAAGGCCAGCAAACTCAGAAGGCCCCCGAAAAATCTGTAATTTTTGAATTTTTTCTACTTTGATGTGCTCTGATGAAAGACATCTGAATCAGTTTATAGTATAAAGGCTGATGTTCTACCTGTTTTCAACAAAAGAATGCAACTTTTTTCTCCTCCACATGTGTAACAAGAAATGACAGATATTTGTTTGATCAAGTGGGATAGGGAACTGAAACGAGATAAAAGCTTTTTTTTTATTTTACTTTCGACTCATATGACTGTTTTCTGTTCTGGCCTTTAAAACCTACGTTTGCGTGAAGCAATATGACAAAGGTTAAATATAAATAGATCCATTTAAGCTCATAAAAAAAAACTTTGGCTAAGAATATTTATTTACAATTGTGCTATTAGGAGCCTAATTAGGAACTGCATGTGATGGTTCTTTGAATTCTATGTTTCATCTTTGTCATGTTTCTTTTTTTTAAATCCACCTCCAACCTGCAGGCCTATATCCGTGTGCTGGACATAAACGAACATCGGCCTGCCTTCCTGAAGCCTCTTTATGAGGTGAGTTAATTATACAGTGAATCATCTTCTATAAAACATGCTTGAGAGTTAAAGATGCATATGTTGACATATAACCAGATGTTAAAATTCAGGAGGGATGTGTCACCAGTGTGTAATAATAAGACACAGCCATTGGTGCTGAGAAGTCTTCTAAACAATATCAGTAAAAGTAAAGCGTGATATCAATTTTGGCTGAAATATTTTCCACTCTTTATCTTGTATTGTTTTGACCTTTGGTTCCCAGCAGAACTTGAAATCTGAGGTACATTGTTTTTTGTAGACCAACCACGTTTAAGTCAGGATTCATTCCATCAAGCTCTTTTTCCACTGTTAAAATTCTAAATTTTATGCAAAAAAGAAAAACAAAAAGGAAAAAAAGGGACATACTAAGTGCAGCAGCCTTTAATATGCTTATCTGCATTAAAATGAAAAAAAAAAAGGTTTCTTTTAATTAAAAACTCTCTCCACAAAAGATGCTTTATGGATGTTTTTGTGGATTCCTAAATGTGAATAATTTGCTGCCTTATTCATGCATTCTCTCTTTAGTCAATCACATAAAAAGACATGTGTAAAGTTTCTTTCTCTTTGTTCTTACACTATAGAGTTTACCAAAAAGAAACTAATCTGTTCAGCCTAAAAAATGTAAGATTTGAAAGAGCTATATTTTGTATTTCTCTCATATGTACAACCTTCTGTTAATTAACCATCTGAGATTTTCCCTGCTTCAGTCCTCTCCCCTTTTTACTTTACATCTTCGTAGGAATCATTCAGGATCTACGACAGTAAATGATGATAGACTGCTCTGTGTCAATCAATCATTTTCTTTAAGGTGCGGGTCCCTGAAGATACATCCCCATGGAAGGACATCTTACAGATCAGCGCCCAGGACAATGACAACAACAGCAAGCTGGTGTTCTCCATCCAGAGAAGCATTCATCCAGAAAGCGCCAAGTCTTTTCACCTAGATCCAAAGAGTGGCGTTCTGGTGATGACAGAAGAACTGGACTTTGAGATGATATCTGTTCATACGCTCATCATTATGGTAAAAAAAATAATAAAATATATATATATATATATATATATATATATATATATATATATATATATATATATATATATATATATATATATATATATATATATATATATATATATATATATATATATTTACCAATTTATATATTTACCAAAATCCTGTTACAATGGGTTTTTTCAGATATGTGAGTCTTTTACCTCTTCATGAGCTGCAATATTCATGTGCCTCTTTAGGTGCGTGACCAGGAGATTCCAGTGAAGAGGAATTTTGCAAAGGTTGTGATCCATGTGGAGGACTGTAACGACCACTCTCCGGTTTTCCTCAGCCCCCGTTATGAATCCAGAGCTTCTAATCTGGCCCCAGTGGGCACCGAGGTTGTCCGAGTCAAGGCCCTAGACAAGGACATGGGCAGCAATGCAGACATCAGCTACTCGCTGCACTCTGGTGAGCTGGCCAGGCTTATTTTACACATTATCCACACTTGCTTCTCTTCACCTGAACATTTTTGGTCAGTCATTTAGTGATAGAAACTCCTGGAGGTGCATCAATTACAACTGCAACCTTTATATGTCTCACACTTGGCTATATGGGATTGTTGCAAATTATTTTTGATTAAAGATTCTGTAAGTGGCTGGGTGGGTCAGAGATTGATGCTCAACAACAGCCACTGCACTCAAACACTTTAACTCAGTGTTTCATACAACAAACAATATCCACCTTTTTAACTGTTAGTTCTCAGATATATACTTGTAAAGTAGAAAATTGCTATTTTATATCAATGTCACTGCTTGAAGTTTCTAATGTTTAAAAGGGAGCTACAGAATGAATGCGATGACACTGTATGCACTGGATATCTTGATAACAGGACTTTTTTCTGCATCACTATTTGTTAAAAAAAAAAGACAAATAGACTCATTAGGAAATAACAGATACTAATTTGAAAAATCTCTGCTGAGTATGAAACTGATTTTTGGGATGTTTGAAATATTCTGACCTACCTCCCTGCAGGTAATACTGATGACATCTTCTCCATCGATCCTGATCTGGGTTCCATCCTTGTTTCCAAACCTCTTGACCTTCAACCTCAGGACCACTTCCACCTAACAGTAAAAGCTACTGATCAGGGATTTCCTCAACGATCTGACTACTGCTCTGTATACATCCACATTCACATTTCAGATCAAACTCCACCCATCTTCCCAGCAGATGAGTACCTAGCAGAGGTCAGTGAATTAAGTGCTCCCGGCACTCCAGTGGTTACTATCTCAGCCTTGAGCCCAGCTGCAGTGCATTATGGTATAGAAAGAGGAAACATAAATGATACCTTTTCCATCAACCCCTACACTGGCTTAATTTCCACAAGAAGATATCTCAACTTTGAAACCTGGGAGTCCTACAACCTCAAAGTTACAGCCTCCACAACAGCTGGAGCCATGTCCAAGACCCTGGTCAATATCTATGTGGTGGATGAGAATGATAATGCTCCTGTCTTTCAGCAAAGAGAGTACATTGGTCAGATTAGCGAATCGGCTCCTTTAAACAGCATGGTGATGGGAAAAAGAAGCACGCCGCTAGTTGTTCAGGCGTCTGACGCAGATAGAGATTCAAATTCTCTGCTGACATATATGATCCTTGAACCTGAGGCACTAAAATTCTTCAAGATTGACCCAAGTATGGGTACCATTTCTATTATCTCATCGGTTGACTTTGAAACCAATGCTGAGTATCACCTTACAGTCCAGGTGAGGGACTCAGGGGAACCATCCCTCTATGCAGCGGAGCCTGCCAAGGTCACTGTACGCGTCCTGGACCTTAATGACTGCGCGCCACAATTCACAGCATCTGTGTATGAATCATCCATCATCTTCCCAGCCGTCAGTGATACTGAGGTTGTACGTGTCACGGCCCATGACCCAGATTCAGCAGTCTCATACAGCATCACCGAGGGAAATCTTCACAGGGCCTTCTCAATTGATCCCAACACAGGAGTCATCACCGTGAGCAATGTGTCCGAGTTCCGTTCATTTTACCAGTTGACTGTCAGAGCATCAGATGGCCTTTTTAAAGATTCAGCCACTGTTAAGATAAATGTAACTAAACTGATACCAAGTGATCTACAATTTCAGCAGAAGGTTTACTCAACAAGCATTGCTGAAAACATAAATGCAGTGAAAACTTTGGCAGCAATAAAAGTCTCAGGATGCTACCTGAATGAACCTCTTGTATACTCCGTTATCAACCCCGTGGGGAGGTTTAGTATTTCCCAAATGTCAGGTATTCTTGAAACTACAGGAATTCCTTTTGACAGAGAGGAAAAAGACATTTATGACATAGTGGTAAAAGTACAAGACATGAGAACTCCACCCAGAACAGCAATGGCAAAAGTCAAAGTTTTTATAGACGATGTAAATGACAATTCTCCCCAGTTTCTAAATCTGCCTTTTTCAATGATGATTTCTGAAGACTCAGAGCCAGGAGATGTTTTGTACCAAGCAACTGCCATTGACAAAGATCTGGAAGAAAATGGATCCATCGTCTACTCTCTAGAGGAGGATTTTGAGCTCTTTAGGATAGATCCAGATGTGGGGGATATATCCCTTCAAAGACCTCTTGACTTTGAAGCCCTGAGTAAATACGTGTTGACTGTTGTGGCTACGGATGAGGGAGAGCCCAGTCATAGAACCGCTGCTCAGCTCACTATTCAAGTGAGGAACAGAACCAATCCTGTCTTTCAAACTGTTCTTTATCCACTGAGAGTCCCTGAAAATGTTCCTCCATTTACCACCATCCTCCATGTTCAGGCCAGAAACCCGGAAGGGTATCGGCTTATCTACAATCTTGAGGAGGAAAATGCTTCAAAGCACTTTCACATTGACTTTAAGACTGGAGTGCTAACCGTAACCAACCCTCTAGACTATGAGAGCCAGACCATGCATGTGTTAACAGTACGAGCTACTGACTCTGTGACTGGAGCCTTCTCAGAGGCATCCATTGAAATAGTAGTGGAGGATGTGAATGATAATCCACCAGTTTTTCCACAGCTGACTTATAGTGTGAACATTGCCGAAGGGCTTCCAGTCAGCACCTCTGTGATCCAACTCAATGCTACAGACAAAGACTCTGGTGCAAATCAGGATTTGACCTACCATATGGTTAAAACCGAAGGAAATGAAGCTGATTTTTTTCAGATAAATCCTAATACTGGGCTGATTGTCACAAAAAAGGTTCTGGATCATGAAAAAATTAAACACTTTAATTTGAAAATTAAAGCTATTGATAATGGGACAGTACCTCTCAGTAGTGAGGTTATGGTTTTTGTAAATGTGACTGATGTCAATGACAATCCGCCTGATTTTGTTAGTTCTCAGTATGAAGCTACTTTGGATGAAATGGCCAAATGTGGCCACATTGTGATTAAAATTCAAGCTTCTGATCCTGACCCTGAAGATAAGCTTAAGTATAAGATCATTTCAGGCAACAAGGACCGATACTTCAACATAAATGAATCCTCAGGGATCATCTCCTTTTCCAATGTCTGCAGGAGGAATTTGGATCCTCACTACAACCTTACTGTGGCTGTATCTGACGGAGTATTTCAAAAAACTGCCCCAGTTAATATTGACATGATTAATAGCAACAGGCACAGTCCTTACTTCAAACAGACCATCTATGAGGCAGAGCTGGCTGAAAATGCAGAGGCAGGAACTCGTGTGATTCGACTTGCAGCTATTGATCCGGATGATGGGCCTTATGGAAGTGTTGACTACACCATCATTAACAAACTGGCTGATGAGAAATTTGCTATTCATAAAGATGGTCAGATTGTTACAACTCAACCACTGGACAGAGAAAACCCCACCCAGAAAGTCATAGCAATAAAAGTAATGGCTAAGGATGGTGGTGGAAAAGTGGCATTTTGCACAGTCAAAATTATTCTCACAGATGAAAATGATAACATTCCTCAGTTTAAGGCATCAGAATACCAAGTTTCAATTCATTCAGCTGTGAATAAAGGCTCCCCTGTCATTCAAATTATGGCTTATGATGCAGACGATGGTAAAAACGCAGATGTGACTTACACTGTGGATGAAGCTGAGGAAGTTGTTGAAGACATCATCGAGATCAACCCTTTCACAGGAGTAGTCAGTGTTAAGGAGAGTCTTACTGAGATGGAAAACAAGATCTTTAACTTTAAAGTAAAAGCTCGTGACGGCAGTCTGCCTTTTTATAACTCCACTGTCCCAGTTCAGTTGAAGGTGGTTCCTCCAGAGGTCCCCCTGCCAAAATTCTCAGAACCTCTCTACACTTTTTCTGCTGCAGAGGATTTTCCAATTGGTTCGGAGATCGGTTCTGTGAAGGCTGACTCTGACATGCCCCTTATTTATAGCCTGGTCAATGGAAACACGGTGGAAAGCAACAAGGACAAAGTGTTCAGTCTGGACCAGGAGAGTGGAACTCTGCTGGTACAGAAGAGCATGGACCATGAAAAGACAAAATGGTACCAAATAGATGTGATTGCTCAAGGGAATCATAATGGGACAGATGTTGCATCACTTGTCTCCGTCAGCATCCAGGTCCAGGATGTGAACGATAATCAGCCCATGTTTGATGCAAGCCCATACAGGGCCTTCCTGGCAGAAAACATGCCTGCTGGAACTACTGTTATTCAGGTGAGACAAACTAGTTTCTCTTTTATAGGTTTACTGCACTTAATTTATGGAATGAATTTAGTAGACACTTGTCCACTAAGGTCAAGGATATAGATAATTTCTTATCTATTGAATATAAAAGACTTTCCTCTATTGCAGTCAGCCAATATTTGCATTTCAAGGGGTTAAACATGGATTACATATACCTTCTTTTTAAGACTGTCAATATATTTTATATTTAGCAAGACATGTAATTATTTTGGTAGGTTAAAAAAAAACACTGAAGAGGTTCTGATGTTCTCTTTAGAAAATTAAGAAAACCCTCCAATGCAGCTATTTTTCAAAGTGACATATAAAGTACATATTTCTTTGTAATTTATTTATTGTTTCACTAGCCTAATGTCTAAATCTTCTCTAAATCTTACTTGAGCATCTTACCGCCCATGTATCATAAAATGCCACAGGTTTCTTTCACAAGATATAATAATGGCTTTCTGATCTCTAGGTGACAGCAAATGATCCCGACACAGATACGAATGGCCTTGTTACCTACAGTTTGGAGACACTGCCTGGTGACACCCAGCTTGAAATCAATGATGTGTTTGCCATCGAAGGAGAGAGTGGCTGGATTACAACGTTGAAGGAAACAGACTGTGAGGCGGTCAGAGTCTACAGGTTCAATGTGGTTGCCAGTGACCATGGAGGGGAAATTAAGCTCTCGTCTAGTGTCCTTGTGGAGGTGATGGTGACAGACGAGAATGACAATCCACCTAAGTTCCTCGAAGACATATACCATGGCTCAGTAGTGGAGAATACCACCCCGCTGGAGCCAATTCTCTCAATGAAGACCACAGATGCCGACATATCTTTAGAGAACCGCTTGGTGACATGTTACATCACAGGTTTGTTTGCATGACTCACTTGCTTTTTTTTTTTTTAGCTTGTTTAGCCAATAGGTTGCTCTGTGTTACTCCACCCTGAAATATGGTTATTGTGCAAACGTGTAAATGTTTTCATCTGTAAAATTATTTTTCCTTGAAGATTTGCTGCACATTGGGATTTATCAAGACATTAATATAGCAAAAAGAAATTTGTGTTAATCACCCTCAGCTGTGTCACATTATTCCACCCCCAATTAATCCCAAAGTGGAGCTGCGTGACAGCGCAGGAATATCAATTGGATGCCCTGCAGTTAACAACACAAACAAAGCCTTGAATTAATGCAAATCCCAGACAGTTAAACTGTTCTGAAGGAGCTTACTGACACAGGGAGGTGTGTTTGTGTTGCAATTATTTACAATGGAGAGGTTCAGTTCAGGCTTACTCTGGGTTGTCTGAGAGAAACAAATGGAAAAGTAAAAAAAAAAACTCCCCACCCTATGGGTACATTTATTTGATTTTTTTCTGTTATATATATATATATATATATATATATATATTAGGGGTGGAACGATTCACAAAATCCACGGTTCGGTTCGATTCACGGTTTCTGGTCACGGTTTTCGGTTCGATTCGATACATGTTGATTGTTACACCGAAATTCCATAAAAAATTATGAAATTAATGAAAAAATCCCCCCAAAAATAATGGATTGTAATTATTTTTAATGATCCGCGGAAACCCTGGATCATTTCCGTATGTTTTGCTGCTTTGAATTTAATCATCTGGCGCCTGCTCTCTAACCTGACAACAGCCAGATGCATGTCTCGCTCATGTCTCGCTCCGCCACATGCATCTGGCTGTTGTCAGGTTACATGCTCTCTACCATCTCCAAGGAACTCAGAGGGGAGCGGACGAAGCCACAGCGGGGGCTGTAGGCTTTGCTTTGAGCAGCCGGTCTGGAGCGCAGCGGGGGTTGCTGACGGAGTATGAGGGATTTCGGGGTTAGCATGACATGTTGCTGTTAGCATAAACAAAACGTGTTGCACAATGCTTGCACACTGTTGCACTTTTATCCACAACTTTCTTTCCGCTGTCATCGTAGGTCACTCTAAATGCAAAGCGCTCCCATACAGCAGACCCATAAAGTGCTGCTGGCGCGTCTTCCAACTCCAGTTCTTTCCCACTCGCCAGTCCGACACAATTCTCCACAACAACTGATTTTTTTCCCTGCTACACCGGCTACGCTGCTTCGCTTCTTCTTCTTCTTGTTTACTACTGGTGGTTGGCTTTGGTCGCAGTACCGCCACCTTCTGCTCTGGAGTGTAATCGCTTTGCCTATGAGAAAAAGGAGCAGGGCATGAACCGAACGAAACACACGTGAACCGAACCGAGACAGTCGAACCGAACGATTCTGGCGGTTTTCATAAATCGTCCCATCCCTAATATATATATATATATGTGTGTGTGTAAAAGCACTAGTTATAAACACATTAGCTCTTTAACTCTCTTTAACTGTTTTGACTTTGTTCCTGTTTCTGTGTATGATGTCAGTTTAGTCCAAGAACTTTTTGGTTGGGTATCACAGCTTCTATATTGTATTGAGACAACACTACTTTCATGCAAAATCGCTGTAAAACATATTTTTCCTCTTTACCATTGTTGAAAATTGGAATACATACCTAAATTTTTAAAACATAATCATTCTATAAACAGCTATCGAGCTATTTAGCCTTTGTATGCCTTCCTTTTGCAATTAGATATACCTATGAATATATTTCTTGGCTGTTAATTATTTCTGGATTGATAACAGAGATAAAAATGTATCTAAACAATGATATCAAGACTCTGATTTTATGATATTTTATTTTTTATGATTTGATGCCGAGGTCATCTACCCTATTTTTATTTTTATTCTTGTCCTAGACTCTTTTGAGATAAAATATATATTATGACCTTTAAGTAAAATAACACTAGTTGACTCTGCTGAGTTTTTTCATAAAACATGAAAACTTCCTTTGAGTCCTTAAAGATGTTGAAGAAAAGAATTATGTTATTATAAGAAAGCTATGAAAACAAACTCTTTTTAATCACCCTGAAAGTATAGAAAAATAAGAGCAACACTGCAAATGTATGAAGTGTTCTAGGAACAATAATGTTATAAAGACTTTAAATCAAAATCTCCAAAATCTCAATTATTATTTATTTTTTTAGTTTTGTTTTCTTTACATTTAGAGATGATTTACATCACTCAGCTGCAGACAATAAAGGATTAAACAAAAAAACAGAAACAGCCTCTCATTCCTACATTCTGTAACTCATACGAACCACGACTTGCTTTTTTTTCCCTCGCCAATGCTTTCATAAGGTTTAATTTCTCTTTTGTAAAAAGAAAAACAGAATACATTACTATTAATTATACAAAGGTACTAAGTCGAACTCTATCTGAAAATAGCCTTCATATTTTTCTGTGTTGAACTTCAAACTGAGTTTTATTATTGTTGTTGAAATTTCAAGAGGATATTTAGGGTTAGAATAAAAATAATAAGCTAAAAGATAAAAAAGAATAAAAACAACAAAAGCATCTACATGTAAACGTATTACACAGTGACAGTAACATAGATAGAGGTAAAAAAATCAAAACACGAAAGTGTTTATCTTATGATCTCGTTCAAATGTGTGGGATGTTTAACTTCATTTCTGGTATTTCTCCTCTCATTATTAAATTGCAATGTAAATTACTCCTTGGGGGCAAGTAATGTTGGTGTTTTTACAACAGCAGCCAGTTAGGCTTTTATCTTTGCTAAAGAAAAGTAGCAGTACAACTTAACAATTCAGTGGCAATACCTGATTGGCAGCTTGAGACATTTTTTTTTTCTTGTGGTTAAACCTTTTGTTATTGTAAGAAACGTTTAGTTCAAGCTTTGCCTCCATGCATTACCTGTCAGACAAGGCGTGTGCTGAATTTGAGGTAACAGAAAAGAAAAGCAACTAAAAAGTTAAAACTATACATTTTCTGTGGAATAACTTTTTTTAAAAATTGTTCTGAGGACTGCAATAGATATTAAATAAATGGAAAACAAAATTATGCAGCATGGAAATCTGAGTAACTAGATTTAGTAATTTGAGGTTGCTACTCTGTTCATCTTTTCAGACGGGGACCCTTTGGGGCAGTTTGCCATCGTCCAGGAGGATGAGGGTCAGTGGGGTCTGATTGTGAAGGGGAGTCTGGACAGAGAGACCAAAGGCCGATACACACTGCGGGTTACTGCCACTGATGGAAAATTTGAGGCTCCTGTTACTGTTGATGTCCATGTGTTGGACATCAACGACAACAGTCCAGTTTGTGAACAGGTGAGTTATTTCATCACATCACTGAAAAAAAGCTACGTCTTCTGAGATATGCTGCAGTGCTCAGAGCAAATTAGTTTTATTGCTAGAAACTATAAAAGCCGCTTTACTTTGTAGTCTTGATGAATGCCTCTTCTAGTCTCTTCTCTTTTGATGAATAGTCCATATGGCCTCAGCTACATCACACCCAATATTTTCCATTGAAATGCTCATAGGGAAAAAAATTTTAGCATGCCCGATCCATCCTCGACATCCCTCTGCATCTATCTTGGGCAGCAGGGTTCATTTGATTAAGCAAGGGCATCTGCTCATAGGGGCAAGGATCATATATACCTTCCATCACAATGCAATGACGAAATCCTCTATAGGATTTAAAAATGGAGATTATGGAGGAAGAAATTGCATCATCATTCTTGGGTGCGCCACAAACCACTAATTCACTACACGAGAGTGGTGAAATGTTACATTGGCCCAGATTATCACAAACAGTGGCTTCAACAGCCCTCTTTCCTGGGGTGGGATAAGCCTGTCATGCAGAGTGTTAAGGAATAGGGACTAGGATATAGAGGCCAAATGCTGGAATATGGCAAAGGAAACCATCATTGGAAGTAGCTGCACACATAGTTATGTTGGCGTCCCTCTGCCCTGGAACTCTAATAGCAGCCCTATGCTCAATGAGGTTCCTCCCATGTCACCTCACTTTACAGGGGTTGAAGCCAGCTTTATTGACATAAAAGAAAACATGACGTTCCACCTCAGCTTCAAGCTCAATGGTTCACTAAAGAAAAAGTAAAACGAAATTATAACTATATAAAAGTAACTCCAGTTGACAGTCGCTGTATGATAAACCAAAGCATAAGCATTGATTTTTGGCATCTGACCACCTTCACAGCATCAGAGTTCCTCTGGAATGGAACTCTGTAGAGCTGTTTCATACCCCAATGTATACTGTATGTATACAGATTTTATATTTCTAAATACCCCCTGATGTGCAATCACTGCTGCCCCGATCTCACACAGCCTAATGGCATTAGTTGCCAGAACGTTCTGACTGCTGCTCAGCATTCAAAATTCTGCTTCTACCATTACCAGTGGGTAGCGTTTTGAGTCTATAAAGAATGCATGATGTGGAGCAAAATACATTAAATACTGTATATCACTGCAGATATATCTGTATATACTGCATAGCAACACTACTTGTTCTCCAGTCAAAACTCTTACAGCAGATGCAACCATGTTTCTATTGAGAATAACTTGGACTTATTCAAAAACGTGCAGTGTAAGCTGGCGCTGGTTGGACTCATCAGTCTGGAAGAAGAAGAAGAAGAACTCCCTTGTCCGCACATGTGCAGTGCACAAGGTTCTCAACTCATAGCTCTGCATCAACCGCAGGATTTGCCCACGAACACCTTACTGATCGCCCCGTGTTACCCCCTGTATACTACACAATGCAGGATGCACGTTGAGGCTGAAACTCGGCCAGATCGACAAACTTCTTGCACAACTGGAGAATTGACCAGAAAAGAGCAAAACAAATCATACAGTGTATGCCCGGCATAAGTAAAAGGCCATGGTTTACCGCATGATCAATCACAGTTGCCTTAATTTTATCTGTATCTTGAGCCCTTTCTGTTACACCTCGCACAATGACTCCTCTTCCTCAGACTCTCTTCTTTGGACTCCTCTTCCCTTGAGCCCTATACCTCTTACTCTGACTCTCATCTGCCTTAGCCCATCCATGCTTGCACACACAATGTGGCACCTTTTCAGGCCTGCAGCCTGATTGCAAATTAAAAATTTGTGTGAAGAAGTGTCTTATCTTATAATATTAATACTTTTGAAAAGGTAACTTTAATCTGTAAGATATATAAATTCAGAAAAGTGTCAGATTTAGTTCAGTTCTCTCAGCTTTGTTACCCCTCTTGATGCTTATGTGCTCTGTGAAAGCATGTCATCATTTCGATGCCACAGATTAAGAGTTTTTTTGAATAGCTGACCTCAGGGACCAGCCAGAAGCATTCAGTGAAGCAGGTCAGAGAGATATAATGGTGTCTAAATGCTGTTGGAATATACTTTAAGAGAATACTAAAATCTGTATTTTCAGGTTCAAGCTGTATAATTGCCAAAAAAGGTCACTTTTAAATTGATAGTGTGCATCTCTAGCATTTTTTAGTTTTTTTTTTCACAGCAGAAAATATTTTTTTAGACATAATTGTTTTCATAAAAAAAAATAGGCTGATTGTTTAAGCCAAGAAATTGTCATTATTTGTGTATTATTTAGTTACACCTCTAAATAGGTGAATTTTAGCTGGAATGTCTGAATATCATTTGTCTCATCCTTTGTTTTCAGCTGGTGTACACAGAGGGAGTAATGGAGAACTCACCACCCAGGATGTTTGTGCTCAAAGTTTCGGCTTCGGATCAAGACGTGGGAACCAATGGCGAGATCTCATACACATTGCACGGTCCAGACGCAGAGAAGTTCCATCTGGATCCGAGAACAGGTATAATGGTCTGTTTGGGGTGAAAACAGGTGCTCATGCTCAGTGAGTGTCTGAGATGGTGGTAATATCAACAATCTGCAGCTGTAATGAGCTAACAGAAGCCAAAACGGTCTGTCCAGGACCTCACTTACATCAACTCCTTTCTTTCTTTCAGCCATAACCTGTTTTCTCTCTGTCACATAAGTTTGTCCTCCTGATTTTGTAGATGGGACAGTCTTCAGTGTGTCCTTCATAGAAAATTTACCTTGTCTATTGGAGCCTGATTAAGTTTTTAAATGGGTTTGGCAAACATTTCAGTTTTAAGACATGCATCTTTAGCTTTTGTCACTAAACTCTAACCTAAATTATAAAAAGGCCTTGCAGTTATGGATGCCCATATTAATGTAGCTTAACATACATGAATTGGCTTAGTCTCTTTTAATAATATTTTTTTCTTTTACAAAATCTTGATAAGGGTTTAATTATTTGTGAATCATACTACCCCTAGGTGAGCTGTTCACTCTGGCTGTGTTGGACCGTGAGACACATACAGAGTTCAACATGGTGGCGAAGGCGACCGACGGTGGTGGTCGATCCTGTCAGGTCGACATCCTGCTCATCATCCAGGACATGAACGACAACCCGCCTCTTTTCTCCTCCAGCCACTACGAGGTCACAGTGTTCGACAACACGACAGTTCGCACGCCAATTGCCGTCATATACGCCAAAGACCCAGACACAGGTAAAGAGCTGTTATCATTTAGAAATGGGAGATTTACAGTTCCGTGAGAAGATTGTATAGTTGCTCTCTGGTCCCAACATGCTAAGGTAAAACCTTGGGCCTGGTATCACGAGTCTGGCTTTATTAGTCTAAGCTTTGCATGTGTATTAATGTGTTTTTTTCTAAACCCTAACATAATGAAGCACTAATCCCATTTCCAACAGCATTCATTCTATTGAAACTCCCTTTAATGCTTTTTCAGTGCTTTTTTCCAGCACTGTGCACATGAATTTAACTCTTAATTCCCAAAGCATTTAAAGAAATTATATATGTTTAGCTTTTCTTAAACATGCATAATCGAGATTCTAACCTTTACATCTTACTTCATTAAATCAGGTTTTGGATTTTGTGAAAGCACATCTACTTTAATGTTAAGCAGTAAGATGTGTTGAATAGGTTTACTTATTGGCTTGAATATGGGACTATCGCAAGATTAGTAATCTTGAACCAGAAGGTTGTTCAGTTCATGCTTCCCCCTGTCACATATCTGTACCCATAGGCAAGGCATCTAACCCCCCAGTTACACACAGATCATGTGTATCTATATGTGACAGTAAGTGTGACCGGGTGAAAGTGTAAAGTACTAAGTATTATCATACTTGAATTGTATGATAACAAATGTTCATACATTCTTTTAATTTCTCATTCAAGCCTTACTTATATTCTTGTTTTCTTCAAACAGTGCTCTCACTCGTCTTGTTCACAGGTACTTCACCATGTTTTAGGTACCAACTCTGCTTCTGTTTAAAATCATAACTTGCTGAGTGTTATCACCTCTTTAGTCTTAGTATATCAACCAAACATTGATACAAGACACTATTTTATTGGTTGTTTACAGTTGAACTCTTTTTTTGCCCCTTTTTGTAGTGGTATATGTTGATAAAACACAAGATTTACAACTTGAAAAGGAATCTTGAGTTCAATGATCAGTCGAAGATTAGATGCATTAGCAGCTTTCCTGCTAACTAACTGAATGAGCCCCGTACAAAACTGACGATAGACGTTATAAACCTATGAACCTCACTCAGATGAGTTTGTCTTCTAGCTTTACAAAAACAAAAATAAATACAGTCCAGATGAGAACAAGGCCCACTTTTCAGTAGATTGTGTCGAGAACACTGCAGGTCCTAGGCACTGGCTATGTATTGTGTGGCTATAGCGTGTATAGCTTTGTCAGTTTGGTGTCACATTTAAAATATATCAGTATGAATACTTGTTTCTGTCCAGAAAAACTTTATAAAGTAGTCTAATGAGATACCACATACATGGTTATAATTATTTAATCTGCTTCCAAGGAGTCAGTCAAGTCCATTTGGAATCAGTGCAAATGTTCACACACACATAGCCACAGAAATTTGTTTGGGCCTTTAAGGGAAATACTTAATACTAAACCCCAGGAAAGGTATTGGTTATGAAACAAATTTAATAACAACTAAATTTAATAACAACTAATGGGGTTACTATATAAGCCCTCCAAACCAAATCAATGCAGAAATGGCTCGGGATGATAAATTACAGGAAGATTTAGAAGGTTTTGAACTTGCTGTGCAAAATAGGTAGTGCATCTCTAAACATCTCTGGTGTTTAGTAAACACCACCTTGTGTTTAAAATCTGCGGTGCCAAATATTATATGATCACTAAACAGTGTACTTCTCTTCTTTCATTTTTGGAATCGTCACTCAGTTCTGCATTTTGCAAGAAATAAAGATCACATTAATTAAAAGGGTTTATCTAGCATTTTACTATCCAAGGACCAAAGAACTATATGCCCAATAAGTTTTGATTATTTGTAGGCTAAGAGAGGATACTATGCTGATGTGTTAAAATATTTTAATGACTTTCTTTTTCAAAACCCCTAACATTTTCCACCATATCACTCCCACATATGATAACAGAAGTCTTAAAATAACTGGAGACTAGAGTTTTCTTTGGGAGATTTAAGCATAAACAAACACACTTTCCTTCCTCTATAGCAGACACATTCTACAGTGTTTGTCTGTTTGTTGTTCGAGTGCTGAAAGGTTTACTCTCCAAGTTTGACTCAATTGCATGGCACCAATGTAATAAAAAACCTCATCTCAGAGTCACACATAAACAAGCTGCTACAGACTTCTGCATTAGATGTATTTAGGCTGCTCAGCCACTCCTTTGGTTATGCAGCAGCTTGTCTTTTCTTGCCACTTTCTCACAGTACAGGTCTGTTTAAGGATTTACAATGTCTCCTGGTGTATTCGTATGCTACTATGAGGATTTGGTTTATTTTCTTAGTGAGGAGGAGAGTCAGCCAGCTTTTCAGATCCATCTATTAACTTCAGAAAATGTCGTAATTTTGTAACCTCATAAACTGAGGAGTATTTTCTTTTGCTGGGTTCAAAGAGAAGAGTTTCATCAAGAGTATGATCTGCTGACCTTTAATTAAAAACACTCCCAACAGTCCAGTTGATCTTCTTTGGTGCACTTAAACCTACTTGTGTGACTCAAGCATGACTTTTAGCATTTTTATAAACGTAACGAGCCAACGTCATGATAAATGTATGGGATTAAGAAATGGAAGTAATTCAGAAACTTAATACCAGTGGAGATTTTATTTTTTTATAAAAGCAAAATGGGCAGTTTGTCATGGTCCTGGTCTGATTGTTCCTGTTATCCATTTGTTGTCCTCTGCTGCCCTCTTGTGTCCTCCCTTCCTCTGTTTCTCTGTCCTGCCAAGCACCTGATGCCAATTTCCTCATCAGCTCTCTCTCTGTCTCTGTCCTCTTTAAAAGCCCTCCCTGTTCAGCTCCTGTTTGCTGGATCCTCGTCAAACATCTTGTCTAACTTCTGTCTGTGTACCTCATCTCTCCCTGGCTCCTAGTTTGGATTTACCACTGATGTCTCCTTGGTTCAGGTTCGTTTGCTGTTTACTTTTGGACTCTGATTCCTGCTCCTGGATCTGTGAACTTTAATAAAACTACTTTAATTCACCTCTGCCTACTGGTCTCTGCGTTTGGGTCCTCCATACAAACACTGATTCATGACAGAAGGATCCAGCCAACAACATGGACCCAGCAGAGAACCAGGCATGTGAACTCCTCAGCCCTCCCCATATACAGGAGTCTGACCTGTGGAGCTTTTTTTATGGGGAGAGAGAAGATTTTTTTTTGTTCCTGCCACCGCCATCAGCTCCAAGAGCCGCTCGGCGGGGGCTCCAAGCCTCCAAGGCCCCTCAGCGGAAGCTTAAAGCCTCCAAGGCCCCTAAGCGGGCGCCCCAAGCCTTCAAGTCCCCCTCCATGGTGGTTCCTGAGCCGCAGTGGGCAGCCCCGTCCGAGCCTGATCCTGTTCCTGAGCCGCAGTGGGCGGCCCCAGCCGAGCCCGATCCTGTTCCTGAGCCGCAGTGGGCGGCCTCGTCTGATCCTGTTCCTGAGCCGCAGTGGGCGGCCTCGTCTGATCCTGTTCCTGAGCCGCAGTGGGCGGCCTTGTCCGAGCCTGATCCTGTTCCTGAGCCGCAGTGGGCGGCCTTGTCCGAGCCTGATCCTGTTCCTGAGCCGCAGTGGGCGGCCCCGGCCTCGTCTGATCCTGTTCCTGAGCCGCAGTGGGCGGCCCCGGCCTCGTCTGATCCTGTTCCTGAGCCGCAGTGGGCGGCCCCGGCCTCGTCTGATCCTGTTCCTGAGCCGCAGTGGGCGGCCCAGTCTGATCCTGTTCCTGAGCCGCAGTCGACGGCTCCCTCTGAGGCTGTTCCAGAACCGCAGTTGACGGCTCCCTCTGAGCCTGTTGCAGAGCAACAGAAGCGGGGGCGGCGTCCTCTCCGGCGCATCCTGCTGAAGCGGGGGCGGCGTCCTCTCCGGCGCATCCTGCTGAAGCGGGGGCGGCGTCCTCCTCGGCGTATCCTGCTGAAGCGGGGGCGGCGTCCTCCTCGGCGCATCCTGCGGAGGCGGCGTCCTCCTCCTAGGTTCCTGCTGCATTGGAGACGCCGGCCTCCAGAGCGTCTCTCTCAGCTCCGGCCCCACGGCCGGCCTCCAGAGCGTCTCTCTCAGCTCCGGCCCCACGGCCGGCCTCCAGAGCGTCTCTCTCAGCTCCGGCCCCACGGACGGTCTCCAGAGACTTTTTGTTTCCCTCGCCCACCCTGGGTGGGTTGTTTTTAGTTTCTGGACATTTTAGGGCGTCTGGGATCCGCCCTTAGGTGGGGGGTACTGTCATGGTCCTGGTCTGATTGTTCCTGTTATCCATTTGTTGTCCTCTGCTGCCCTCTTGTGTCCTCCCTTCCTCTGTTTCTCTGTCCTGCCAAGCACCTGATGCCAATTTCCTCGTCAGCTCTCTCTCTGTCTCTGTCCTCTTTAAAAGCCCTCCCTGTTCAGCTCCTGTTTGCTGGATCCTCGTCAAACATCCTGTCTAACTTCTGTCTGTGTACCTCATCTCTCCCTGGCTCCTAGTTTGGATTTACCACTGATGTCTCCTTGGTTCAGGTTCGTTTGCTGTTTACTTTTGGACTCTGATTCCTGCTCCTGGATCTGTGAACTTTAATAAAACTACTTTAATTCACCTCTGCCTACTGGTCTCTGCGTTTGGGTCCTCCATACAAACACTGATTCATGACACAGTTGGTATATCAAAAGGTATATCATAAAACAAACATGTTTTCTATTACTTTTATTCATAGCATGCCGAGTAAAATAGTTTACCCTATGTAATGTGAAGGTGACCTTTGGTGCAGAGAATATGGTCTAATGTTCTGCATCTTATCCTGCTTAGGAATGTATGGAAGGAAAAAATGATTTAAAGGAGTCATACATTAGTATTTGACATATACATTCCTTTTTAAACTGTTATTCTATTCATCTTGAATATTTTTTAGCATAAAAATACATTAATATAACTCCTTCGGACCCCTATTCCTTTTTTATTTTATTTTGAGGGTATGCACGATTTGGATATTTGTGTAGCAGTTTGTCATGTTTTTTTTTTTATTATTATCATTGTTTCTGTCTCTCGCACAATAAATGAAAAGTTAAACAAAGAGTAACGATTAACAACAATGTGGAAGCTGATTGTTGACTTTTTGGGAAATAGAGATGGGTAAGATGAAAGCCAAATCATTTACAATAGAACTGCAATTGATGAGATCTGTGCCCGAATAATTAGAGAATTCTTTCCATCTGCCTTGCTGCAGCTCTTTAACTTGCCTTTGTCTACTAAGAAACTTCCAAATTAAATATACCACTGCCTTTAAATCCATTTAAAACTAATAATTAGAGATTTATCATTACTGTTTTTTTAAGCTATTGTCAATTATTCTGACATCAGTCTAATTGATCCCCAATTTGTGCTGCTGATGTTTTTGGGCAGATTTTTTTTTTAGACAGATATATTTTCTCGTCCTCCTTTTCCGTGACAAAAATGACACAATAAAAACAAATATTTCATAAGTGTCTTTTTTTTTATTAACATTTATTAGCAATTCAGAGAAAACATTAAGAGTAGATAGAGTAGAAGGAGCAGACACACATGTACCTAATGAACCAGCTAAGACATATACTGTATCTGTCGGCCAATACCATTACACAAAGCAATGCAAATATTGACCAAATATATTATTAATGTACTTGTCTATCATGATCAATCTGACATTTTAAACTCTGTTTTCCAGGAATAAACTCAGAGGTGAAGTACTCCCTGCTGGCTGGAGACGGTGGTTACTTCTCTCTAGATGAGTTCTCAGGAGTCCTGCGGCTGGAGCGACCTCTTACCCCCGACACTCCACCAACGTTTGAGTTGAAAGTTAAGGCTGCTGACCGTGGCCTTCCTCGCCACCTGTACTCTGTTGCCACGGTTACAGTGGATGTAGTATCGCTGAATGACTACCAGCCAGTGTTCCTGAGCTCAGAGTACTATGCCCAGCTCCCAGAATCACTGGCAGTCGGATCTGAAGTGCTGAGTGTGTCCGCACTCACTAGAGATGGGGGTGGTCCAGATCCCATTTTGTACCGCATCATCTCAGGAAATGAGGATGGGCTGTTCCAGCTGGACACCCAAACAGGTCAGACCAGATTTTTTTTGTGTCAAATAGATTTATAGACTGATTTAAGTTTCTGAAATGAGTTTAAATAAAATGTCTTCAGAAGTTTGCAGGAAAAGAAAAGATCCCATTATTGTCCCACATTGGGGACAGCAGTGTGCTGCAACACAAAGCACCACATAGGGAATTATAGATTCTAGGGTTAAAGGTCTTTCGAAAATTCTAAACTTAAAGGTCTATCTCAGAGATACAGAGGGACAGTCAAAATTTGAAATGGGAAATCCTGCCTTTCCGGGACACATATGTCTCGCTCTCTAATCACTTCTCTACCGATTTCCCAGTGGAGAGTATTTTCAAGGTTTACATAAACTGTTGAGTCGAAAAGGGTTAAAAGAAAAGTACAGAAAGTACAGAAGTATAGAAATGATAAAAAATAAACCAAATAAAAAGAATTAAAATAACATTAAAAAATATACAGCTTTGTACTTTGAAAATAATAATATGAATTTTAGATGATTTTATTTAAATAATGGATTAGAGAATAAATACCTTAAAAGCATTTAATTGTATTTTTATCTGACAACAGAAATGTTTCAGATACATTTGCTAAAAAACAGATGGGATGAAAGTTATAATAACTTTTCCTCTTCTGTTTTTTTTCTAAATTAATGGAAAGATGCTGAATTCAGTCCTTTATTCTTTTCTTTATATTTTATTATGTTGTTTGACTATTTTACTAAATATTTATTTTTTGTCACTTTACCACCTCTACCAGCTTTACAATAATGCATGTCTTAGAACAGTGCAATTGAATGGTGCAAAGGTTTATAGTGGTGCAAGGGTTGTGATTGACAATCTTACTATTTTGTCTGTTGGACAAAACCTCCTGCTGTTGACTTTATGTTGCTCTCAAGATCAGACAAAAAGGCATTTAACAGCTAGGATACTGTAAAACCTTAACAGCCTCGCTAACCAGAGCAATAGACCATTCAGCACTTTGAGAACCTTCCATTCACACCCGATGAGCCACTGAAAGGTATTTCTTCATGACTGATTTAATTCCAACTGTTTAATTTGCAAGTAAACCATCTTTATTATATTAGTGTAACAAGTACAAACTGGGGATTTGGATCTAGAAGCAGAAACATTAAACGGAAGAAAAAGGTTTTACCCTCCATACATTCTTGGCACTTACTTTTTTTAACCTTTAGTTGCAACTGTATTTTGACAGAATTAAAAATAAATACAAAAATAAATACATTTTTGATAAATGCATAGGCATAAAATTAAATGGTTAAGAATTTATCACAGATAAACATAAAGCAGTAATTAATGTATACAATGAGAAATAAATGTATGAAATATAATTAAATTAGCTTCTCTATTGATTCACCGTTATACAATAACCTCATTTATTTTATCATTTAATTACTTGTTTTTTACATGTATTTATTTCAGTGTTCTGGACAACTTAAGTTTTTTATTATCGTCAATCGTCCCCAACAGAAACTACAATCCCTGCTTAGTGAGCCCACATTCAGCTGGAGAAGCGGATTCAGTCTCTATCTTATTTCTGACCAGCTAAGAGGAAATAAGGATATTTAACTTTTGTTAAAACATAACAGAAATATAGTGTTGACCTCATTGTGGAGTTATCGGGTATACAACCTAACAGTGTTTGTGAAATACAGCCAGAAAAAACAGAAAAAAGTGTCTTCCTTCAGCCTTTCTCTCTGATGTAATTAGTGAACATCTTATTGTCTTTACAAAAATAGGCATATTGGGCAGCCTACCTTTTCTTTTCTTATATAAAAAATCTGTAAATACACATACATGCACATGCTGTTCGCTCTATCTTTGATTTTAGTTTTATCAATGATTATATAATATATTCATACATCTGAGAAATGTGTGCATGTTAAACTACATTTAATTACCTTCCTTTGCACACATTCATGGTCAATAAAGTTAATTCTGAATTTGATTAAGTTAGATAGTGTCCTTTATTCTTTGCTCCTTTTTTTAAAATAACATTACCCCAAAGTTTCAGGAGATATTGTGATAGCATAGCCTACCGCTTCACTCCACTTCTCTATTACTCTTTCAGTAACTCTGCAGCTTTATTGAAATGTATGCTACATAATGAACACTAAACATTCTTCTATGAGACAGGGTTTTCAGCATGCTGTGAATAACACAGAGCATTTTCCCTCATCTCCTGCAACCCCTGCGCTCCTCCCAGATATCACTTTTTGTTACTTCCAGCTGTGAGCGGGAATCTCCTGCTGTGAAACGCATGTCGGAACAACAACAGAGCAGATTAAGATCAAACTGCCAGCTTTTCCCCTGAACATATTTGGTGTTATTAGACTGGAAAACAGCAAACACGCCCCAAAAAAAAAAAAATGTCTATAAGCTGAAGTGATGAAATATCATTCAGAACCACTCACTGGCTGGTGAGGAATATGCTGGATAGTTTATAAGCTTTTTTGATGAATTATGAATGATTTGCACAAATAAGCAAGCATCTCCAAGAAGACTATAGAGAGCAACCCTGTGAGGAGTAAATCTCAGGTTGGTGTGGATCAGAAATGGTTTTCTCAGTACTTGACAGCCAACAGTTTGTCTTGTTTAATGCAGGAGGCAGATGGATGGGGTCTGTTCCTCATTCTCAGCTTTATGTCACTGAATCATAAGAAAATGGTCAATGATTAACAAATATCTCTGTGGCTGAAACTTGGGTGCCATAAGGAGAGATCTCCTTCACACTCAAAAAAGAAAACGAGGCCCCAACATAAATAAGTTACTTCAGTTGATAACAAGTAATTGAATTAAGTTTGCCCAACTTAATTTAGTTTTCAGCTCATAAACTTAAAGTTGGGTCGACTTGATTCAATTACTTGTAAATGAAAAAATAAAGTAGGATATAATACAGTTTCAAAAGTAAACAGTGTATTGTTTCAGCTTAACAGAAGCATATAAATACCTAAAAGCAGTGTATGTTTCTGTATTGTCAAGGTAAAACACAGATACACTTAAATTCTGGTTGTCAACAAATATAAATGTATACTGTATAACATCAATCCAGTGTCTCCCATTTTAACAAACCATTCCTTATAGACAGTGATCTGCTGTTTGTACTTCAAATATGACAATATTTTACATTTTCCTGTTGCAGCTACGAAACATTGTGTGTTGTTTATTGGATAAATTAACTCTTGATAGACCAAGACAGAGATGAACACAACTGTCAGGTAGATTAAATATGAAAACATATATTTAACAATATTTTACAGATACATGAGTGCAGCTTTAGAAATTAATTAATAAGTAAACTATTCTCAGTTACATGTAGCTGTTCTGTGAGGCCCTCAACTATTTGTTAAAGGACATTAAAGAAAAAACAGCCTTACCAAGACCAAGGAACACAGCGGGAAGGTCAGGGGAAAATGTGGAGAATTCTTAGCAGGTTTAGGTTATAAAACTAGTTTTGAGTTATAGAAAGGCTATGCCATTAATTTAAACCTAGCAACTGATATGAGAGAGAGACAGTGATAAGTCTGGATGGAAGAAATGCAGAAATCCACAGTTCAGGTTACAAAATCTGTTGACAGGCACCCTGCCCATCTTTTTGCGATGGAATTATGCTAATAAAGGTTAGTGTTTGAACAAAGTGGTAAGAAGTTTCTTATAAGCCATGAAGGGGGCATAGGAAATGTGGAGAAAGAGGCTTAGTCAGATTAGACCAAAGTTCTTCTTTCTGGTCCATATGTGGCAGCAAATAAACATTTTAAATGTCCCTGACTATACTATACTATACCTATCATAAAAGAGAATGATGGTAGTATTCCCCAGTGGGCAGGCCTCTGCAGTAACAGGTAAGCTCTTCAGACTTCTGGGGCTGAAAGCGTGACATACAGCTTGATACTGCAGGAAAACTTGTTTCTTTTATAAAATGACTGAGACTTAGGCGTCTTTGTGCGAGCATAGGTTTCCATCTGCAAATATGGAATAAAGTTATCTGAAAAGTTTTGTATCTGCGTTTGCAGTAAAAAGTGGTTCCAAAAAAATATAACAATAAGAAATGTAAATTTATGCCATAGTCTTAAGCTTATCATTTTGTAAGCTCATCAGTTATAAAAGCCAACATATATTATTATTTTGAGTTGCAATACAAGTGAATGTACATAATTTAAGGGGGAATGAACACCTTAAGAAGGTCCTTTGTACAGTTGTAGACCAAATGGTATTCAAATGAGAAAATACTGAACAGACTGAACTATATAAAAGTAATCTTTTTCCCTTGCAACACCCACACACTGTCACTACAGAAAGACATGTAACAACTCGACAAGTCTCCTAATCCTGCTGTTTATGGCAACACAAAATGTTCTTTTAAAAAAAATAGAGAGGCAGATTTGTCCCTTGCCTCAGTTAAAGCAAAGCAAACAGATTTGAGTTTTTTTGTTTTTTTTTTGCATGTTTGTTTTTGTTTTTAACTAATAACACATTGACTCCCTGTAGCTTCTACCTGGTTTTAACAACCTAAAAGTAGCCAGCATTTGAGTGTTCATAATAAAATGTGTGAGAAATAGCAGCACTCAAGCTGACAATGGCAAAACAACTCTCACCCAGTTGCTCCTCTGTGGGAAGTCACTCCATGCTGTGTGGAATGAGCTCTGACTGCTCAGAGCAAAACAGTGAAGCAGGTCCTCACTGATGAAAACTTGGCAGCAGGAAGAAAAAGCTGCCACTGTATGTTTATATCAAAGCTTTGCTACACTGCATGGGATGTAACAGGCTCTACCACAATAAAAGGCTTTTTTATTTTATTTACAAAAGCCATGCAATTGGTATAACTACTAAGAGGTTTATTTTACAAGTAACTTGCTGATTATTCCTTCAGCAACTTTTATTTAACTTTTTATTACATTAAATTCATGTTTTCCGTGTTGAATTGTATTATAATGAATAAAATGAAAGGATTATTTCAACTGTGTGTAATTTTCTCATAGATAGCTAAGACGATGATCCTTTCAGCCACAGTCTGGTGAATGATGTGTTTAACTGGACCAGAATAATTGGTGAAAATATAAATCAGTGTAGAGAAATAAAAGCTCTAAAGTAAAAGAGTTTTAACAGGATTATCAAACTATTTTATTCTGTTGGGGAACTTCTTTGTTAAAAAATTTTTTAAAATGTTTGGATGATAAATGAACCTAGAGCAGGTTGGCTTCCTGTTTAAATGATTAAGGACTTGCACCTGCAAAACTAATTAATAAGGGTGGTGATGATGGTGCACAAGTGTGCAACTCGTGTAGGCCTTAGTCCTTGACGTGAATGTCACAGGTTTGAGTCTCAGTCTGTTGATCTTTAGCATACCCACCCTCTCTCTAATACTTTTAAGATTTTATGAGAGATCTTAATTTAATCCTTTATATTTTTATTTAAAATAATTCCATTTGTTTGTTAATGCTAATCTGGTTCCATCAAAGTTTTTCCTTTCCATCCACTACACTTACCAGCTCCAGAATATGTCCATTGACAATAATAACTAAAATGTAATCATAATCAAATGTGTCATCATAAGGACTGTACTTGTATTGAAGGTGCCAAACATTAAAACTGCTTATATTTTGTATTCATTCATTAGTGAAATGGACAAGGCAAATTGATGAAGACAAAGTAAGCATGAGAGATCATACCAAGAGCTCATTTCTATCTCCAGTGCCTCAGCAGGCTAAGCAAACCACATTCAACTAGACTGTACAATAACAACAATAAATTTGGCTAGATAGATGGACTTTCATCATTTCTTTGTCTTAAATTATTTGAAACCAATAGCCATTATTTCTGCCATGTCAGCTTACATATATGCTCTCACACAGGAAAACTCTATAACAGTTTTTTTTTTCTCTGGGATGTGGAGAAACCCTGGGATTCAGCAAAGAAAACAAACAAGACGTGTATTACTAATAGAAAGGGAAAACAGGATCCCGGGATGTTTTTTCACACCTGGATCATAAAATGAAGCAAAAACAAATGAATAAATAACACGCCTTAGATTGTTTTAACTAAGACTGGCTGCAGAAATCCCCATGATCTCAGAAAAATCAATAAGGTAACAACTGCATTGTGTGTGCAGGGCACAAATAATTTGCTGTCTGAGACATGGAGAGGCAAGGGTTTAGAGCAATGGTGGGTGGTTGTTTATTTGGGATCCTATTTTTTGTTTTATCTTAATGAAGTCTCTCTTTTTAAACTGGATGGCAGCCCCAGAAAATTGGGAGCTTGTTTCCCCCACTCTACTGGATATAACAAGCTGCACTGGGCAGGTGTTCTCGTGCTCTGTGTGGCATAATATGGTCCCACTGAGACATTCTGCTACTTCAGACTTGCTCAGGGTTAAAAAAAATAAATAAGTAGAAAGGGTAATATCCATAAAATAAGAAGAGTGTCCCATCCAAACTTCACGAAAGTGAGTTAACGAAAAAATTTATAAAAATTTAGTATAGTTGCCAAATTTACTATTTTCTCCCAGTCATTCCCTTCTTCAGCTTATACTATATATGTTTATTAGAATCACACATAACAAAAAACAGATAGTAGAAAGACAAATCTTATGCATTCATTTATTGTTTTTTTTTTGTTAGTTTGTTTTGTTTTGTTTTTCATAGCAGCCAAGTGTAGGATCCCAACTGGGCTTTTGCATCAAGTAATAATTTCCTAATGTTTGGTCAAGCCAGTAACACCACAAAGTTAGGCTTTAAAAATTGCTGCTTTTAAAAAGTTTTTGTTTTTCTTCCCTGAAACTCAATTAGCTTTTTGAAAAGAAGAAAGGGAAAGTTAAATGTGAATGTTGCCTTAAACACATCTTTCTGCACATGCATTTTAATTACATTCAACCAGTGGATAACTCCACTTCCTTTAAAGGAGCAGAATTGATAGAATAAAATTTGTAAAAATAATGAAACTTTCATGATTTTTTCCATATTCTAAATTATACTAATCTTCAACTGCTCCATTTAAGTACCTAAAATAGTAAATGAATAAAGAATCTGTTTAGAATATTACTTATTTACTGAGTTATCCAGGCTCAGAGGTTTCTCAGGGTATTTTAAGTCTCTCATATACCATGATGTTTACTACCTTTTTTTGATAGCCAGGTTGCTTTCTGTTTTTTCATATCAAAATTGACAGTTTATTCATTTAAATTTAAACCTCAACCAAGCCTGTAAGCAAGTACACAGACTGACCATCTATTACTCAGACATCCGATTCTGTTTCTGCTGGTGAAAATGACACCTTGCAAACTTGGCATTTATGTTTTCATTTTACAGGTCTTCTCATCCTCATGGCACCGTTAGATTTCGAAGTGTCCCGGGAGTACTACCTGTCTGTGGAGGGCAGTCGTGGCAAGTCTTCCCTTAGTGACATCACAACCGTAATCATCAATGTAACTGATGTGAACGACAATGCACCAGTGTTCAGAGAGGGTGTCTACAGCACTGAGATACTAGAGGATCTGACGCCTGGAAGCGTGGTTATGAAAGTAAGACCTACATCCAATAGAATGTTGGTATTTATTCAATGCAGATGTATGTACAGTAGTCGAAACATCTGACTAAACAATACCTGTGTTAACTAAATAGAACAAATCTGCAGTGAGTCATATATTTTACAGCTCCACATGAATGTATCATAAAATAGGGTGTTTATATTTAACCCCTTCAGTGGTAATAATTAGAGCATTTCTGAAAGTAATATTTTTTGTAATACCTTAATTCACCATTGTTTTCAGCTCTATTCCATTTACCTTTTTGCTTAGGGTCAGGCCATAAATATTGATCCTTTGTAATGTCTGTGTTCTTATCCCATATGAGCCAATAGTCGTTTCACCTAGAGGTCTAAAGCACTTCCATTAGTCGGCTCTGGTGTTCCCCTTTTCTTATCTTGCAGCTGTTTTTGCATTTCCCTGAGCTTGCTTTACTTTAAGGCCCCGTCCACACGAAGCCGAACCCTGGCCTAAACGCACAAATTTTTCACCAAACCAGCCTCTCATCCACACGAAGCCGGCGTTTCGGGGGTCTGTAAACGATCTTTTTTTTATTCAGCCTTCAGAGTGGGAAGATTTTGAAAAGGCGTTTTCGCGTTTCCATCTTTAAGCTCTAACCGCATTTTTTGTTTACACGCATGCGTCATAGCGTCGCCTCTAAACACGCATGCGCGACACAGTATCACAACAACAATGGCGCCGTACTGTGTTGAATGGTTGCTGCTAATGCTACTGTTGGGCTTACAACAGAATCTTCTTCTTCTGGAATATCTCCAGGAAGAACAGAGCAATATCGACGACATAGTTCAGCACCTGAATTTGACTTACCGTATTTTCACGACTATAAGGCGCACTTAAACGTCTTTTTTTCCCCTCAAAATGTGCGGTGCGCCCTATGGTGCGGTGCGCCCTATGTGTGCTGTAACTGCGACTTTTGAGACCACCTCATTGAGGAGATGATGAAAGAGTGGCTGAATGTAAGGAGACCAGGTGTTTTTTTTCCACTCATCACCATCGCTGTTAATATGTGACTCCATGCGTGCCCATCTCACAGCTGATGTGAAAAACATGGGGAAACAAATTAACCCTGTGCTCGCTGTTCAACCGCTCGACATCGGTGTGAACCGGACCCAGCAGGTGCAGCAGAAGCAGCGAGTTTACATGCAAAGTCAATGGTTGACGCGCGTATAGGTGCAGCAAAAGGTCCCGCAGAGCGTTTTGAGCCGCAGGTGCAGCACGTCGGGAGCGTTTAAGCATCTGACGCACCGCCAACGCGCTGCTGCTGCTCGAGATGGAAAAATTGAAGTTTTACTGCTAGACGCGCCGCATCAACCAATCAGAGAAGCTGATCTGGGAGCTGACAGCGAGACAGACACAGCGCTCTGATGACATATGATATTAAGGCAAATAAAAAAGGCTGGATGGATGAGGAGATGATGAAAGCGTGGCTGAGGCAGGTGTATGTGAGGAGAACAGGTGTTTTTTTCCACGCATCACCATCGCTGCGTGCCCATCTCACAGCCGATGTGAAAAAAAAAGGTGAATCAAATGAACGCTGTGCTCGCCGTTATCCCGGGGGTCTGACAAAGGAACTTCAACCGCTCGACGTCGGTGTGAAGCGTCCGTTCAAAGTAAGGCTGCGAGCGGCGTGGGAGCGATGGATGACAGACGGAGACCACAGTTTCAGGATAAGTGGAAGACAGCGCCGGACAAGTTACGCCACCGTTTGCGGATGGATTGTAGATGCTTGGACTAACGTGTCTGCTGGCTCTGTTGTTCAAGCTTTCGCAAAAGCCGGCATTATTTCTGAGGAGCCGCGCTGCACGGAAAGTGACTGACAGCGAAGAAGGGGAAATTGGCATGTCTGATTTAGCGCAGCTGTTTCATTCAGAAACAGAGGATGATGACTTTGATGGGTTGGACTAATACTTTGTAGCCTAATAAATGCATGAATAAAGCACAATCATACTCAGTTTTGCTCCCGCTCTATTTTTCTACCTGAAAACTTAATTCAACAGCAGCATCTGGGCCGGGTCTCCTCCTCTTCACCGCGGTGGCTGGCAGGTGTTTTTTCATCTAAATAATCTAAATCTTGCAGCTATATTTGCTGTGATCAGTGGGAATAAAGTAGTTTTAATATGTTTTTAAGTGAGAAAGTCCACCTGAAAACTTAATAATTGCAGTCAGTTCATCCAGATTATCTATTTCTGTCGGAGCCGCTCAGACCCCCACATACCAGCGGTGCGCAGACAGTAGAAATCCTTTCATCAGCAGCCTCTAGGCTGGGCAGCCTCCTGGTTCACGCGGTGGCTGGCAGGTGTTTTTCATCTAAATAATTTAAACTGCAGGCACCAGGATACCGGTAATAAAAGCGAACATATTCTGTCGGCAGGTTTCAGGATTTTAAGTTAATTTAGGAGTGATCACAGCGCTGTGTCATCTGCGATGTGTCTGTCTCACGGCCAGCTGCCAGGTTTGATTAATACTTTGTAATAAATACATGAATAAAGCACAGTCATACTCAGTTTTGCCCCCGCTGTATTTTTAAATACGCAGTAGAGGTATTTAAAGGTAGTAGAGGACATGTACCTGTATATAAAAAACGCGCCCTATAGTCCGGTGCGCCTTATGTGTGTGTTAAATACAGAAATGGGACACATAACTGAGAGTGCGCCTTTTAGTACGGTGCGCCTTATGGTCGTGAAAATACGGTAACCACGAAAATGGACCCGCAGGGCAACCATGTATAAATATTAGTGCACATGCCCAACATTTCGTCGCTTATTTTTGCTTTGGCACCACAGCGCCACTTACAGGCCTGGCATACATTTTGCAGCCTTTTCATGCATTCGTGTGGACGATCACATTTATTTTACGTCTCCGTCTTTACGACAAACGTTTTGGAAAATATCAGCGTTTCGTGTTCGTTTTGACTTCGTGTGGACCGGGCCTAAGGCGCTACAAGTTTAACTCCTACAGGCGAGGAGGTGGAGCACTAACAGGCTGTACTCTTTGTACTCTTCTGTACTCTATGCCAGGCGGTTGCCAGTTCCATTAATGCTAATGCTAACCAAACCCTCCACCTTAGCGACCTTTTCACAATATTTCACAACTTTTGAGATCCCTCTAGCTACTTTTTTTCTTTTTTTGTTCTATTAGAATACAGCTAGGGAAAAATCTATTGATGAAATGCTGTCTTGTTTGGTGACAGCGTGAAATTAAGGTTAAAAAATAAAGTTAATTTGAGTTTTAAACATTAACAGTATTTATACTATGTCTTGTATTGTAGATTTCCCTCCCCTATGGCTCGATCAAAGCAATTTCCTAATATGCAAATTATGTGATGAAGTCGTTTTGTGACCTCTTGCGACCTTTAGGCCAGCCAATGGTTACTTTCTTTGCTAAAGAGTTGCCAACAGTTACCAAGCCAAAATATACCAGTGTTGAAGAACAGCTGCAACCTCCAAGTGCCTACTTAACCCCTTTGCCTCCTAAGCACCAACACTCAAAAGCTTGTTTTAGAAGAAGCCATTTTTCAACTCTGTCACAGAGCAATTTGGATCTGGCAGCACTTGAGCAGCTTCTGATGTGATTTTAACCTACTCTTCTCATTGGTGTGGAATCACTTTGTAGCAAAAGCTGTTTTATAACCAGAAGTAGATATGTATATATTTTGGACCAAACATTATAGTTATTTTGATAATAGTTATATTTAATAATAAGAGTTCTTAACTATCACATTAATAATTAATTAATAATGGTTTACATACTATATGTTTATTCTGCATTACTCTAGACCTTCTGTAAATGTATATTTCCATCTCTTTGCCACCATGCAATCTGTTTAGGAAAACATTCCCTGTGGTTCATACTGGTTACACATTAAATTGCAAATTTATTTTTTTTATTCTGTTTTTTTTTTTTTACCTTATAATGACATAAAGGGGAAAAACTGCATTTTCTTCCTTAGAAGAGTTTCATCACATTGTTTTCTTGCTATCAGGTAACAGCAGTAGACCTGGATGGCCCAATCAATAATCTGCTTCGGTACTCCATCGTTAGTGGAGACCTTCAGCAGCAGTTTTCCATCCACCCTCGCACTGGTGAAATTTCTGTCCACACATCACTGGACAGAGAGGAGGTTGGTGTTTGTCTAATCAAATAAAACCATTGAATAGGATAAAACTTTAAGATTTAAAGCCGTTTGTTAATCCCTGATTGCTCCTTTGCAGATCCCTCATTACTCCCTGACAGTGCAGGCAGCTGATGAGGGCAGCCCCCCTCTGTCATCAGCAGTCCTAGTCACCATCATGGTCGTGGATGTCAACGACAACCCGCCTGTCTTCTCTCAGGTCAACTACAATCTAGTGCTGCAGGTATGACAACTTGAAAGTTTCAAGTAACATTTCTGGCTTGCTACAAGCAGATGGCAATCGTTTGATCTATTTCCCTGGAACGTGGTATTTGTTCAGCTAATTACTACATCCTAACAGGTGATAGTATAAATGTTCCATCATCCATGTCTGGCAAAGAAAACAGTTTCCTTTCTTTTTTTTCTCTGCAAACCAACACATGTTGTCTGCTCTGCATTTTGTCCAGATGATCCATCCAGTTTGCTGCAGGCATGTAGGGACAGGTTCAGCCAACATCTTTGTTTCAACTCTCTTTTAAAAAAGGCAGTTTTTTTTAAACAGGAGTGCTCAAATGCAGCCGAGAAATTAGGGGACTTGAGAAGAAAAGGAAGAATATTTTATGATTATTTAAACAGTGAAAATCATCTTACTCAATTAAGTCACTGTTTTAATTGCACATTTTGCTGGCCTGATGAGAAAGATACTTTTTTAAGAAAACAACTTTGTTTTCCATGTACTTGAGATTGATTTGACCTCTGTAGGACACTATATGCAAGTCCAGGCGGTCTGTGCTGGTGTTTTGATTTGTTACACCTGCTGTTTTGTGCCCAGAGATCATCGACATTTTTGTTTATGAAAAAATACAACCTGCAGCAGACACAAAGCTCCATTTCGACAAACTGTCAACAACCTATATGTCAGGAGACAAATAAAGAATTCGAGCCAGAACTCACAGAAACAACTTGCCAAGACCAACAAATAGCTGTCTGGCTCCTAAAGGGGAATTGATACATTTATTTATACCATTTCATTCATACAAATTAAATCAGGCCCAGTGGAATTATGAAGATGATCACTCAATTTTTTTTTTTTTTTTAGAAACTAGTTAAAAATAAAAGCAAAGGAAAAATGCTGCAAATGGCAAAAGCAGCTGCAAGTTAGGTGAAGTTGAAAACGATCCTTACATAATGAAAGTGTCCCTGCTCTTCACCTGACAGCCATACACGGCCATATTGGAGCTAGAGATAAACCAATGGTAATTGTTGTGCTCATTAAAAACAAGAGTTCAGAGAAAGAGATTCAGCCAAGGTTGTGGTTTCTCACTGAAGTTGCTCTGTTTGCCAATTCCCCATCACTCTGACCATTGCAGATTTGCCAACTCTGTAAGTACCAACCAGTCACATAGTAGTTTAGTCATGAAAAACAACATTTTGCCAATCGCTGTGCGGCCATGAATCAAGCTCTTTGAAATGGTCCCATCTGGTAATGACACCGCAGCCAACTCTGCCTGATGGAGGAGCTCTGATTACAGTGAGCAGCTGGATGCCGCCGCAGAGGGTCAGAAGAGCTGTAAATTTTAACAGACAGGTACTGCAGGTCAACAGCAGCCAGAGTTTCCTCTTTCACAGTTAATTATATACCTTCGTTTAACTATTCAGAATCCTTACACTTGTTTTACGAGAGGCACATCTGTTTTGGTGAAGGAAAAATGCTCAGACTTGAGTAGTTTGAAATCTCTGCCAAAACAAACAGCTTTAGAAGGTATTGATTTGCATCGCAGACATCTAAACAAAGGAAACTACAGCAGAAGTAATCAATTTGACTCTTCTCCTGTAACTCTGTATTATAACATTAGTCCCTTTTTGTCTGAAGGTGTTATTTATCAACTGATTTTTTTTTATTCATAAATGAAACATCTGGTTGAAATTGGCCTCTGTGTGTCCTTCCTGATAGGAGGAGCATGTCGTGTGTGCTGAAAAGACAGCAGGTCTCAGGGATAATATTTAACGCTTTTCTCTGGCTCTGTCTGTAGAATGTATATAGGTGCATTGCAAACAGAGTCAGGAATTGATGCATATTTTTACCTCAATAATTTTGTGTACCTTCCCTGCCATCGATCTCCTGTGACGTGCTGCTCTTTGAGTGATAGTATTATTTTGTAAGGGACCACTGGTTTCTAATAACAGGACACAGCGAAAGCCACTCAAACCCGATGTGTAATTTATCACAGGAACATTTTTTAGATCTATTTTTTTAGTCCATCTTTTGATTTGCACAAGATTAAATTCAAGGACAAACTGTTGAAATCCATAAACTTTTGGTTCTTATTTTTGTTTAATCATTATGAATGCACTGTAGATTTCCAATATGGACTAATTAAAGATGAATAAAAAAAGTTGACTCAAAGATGAAATCTCCTGTAGGAGGGTGAGTCCATCGGCAGAAGCATCCTCCAACTGATTGTGACAGATAAAGACACACCAAAGAATGGCCCGCCTTTCTCCTTCCACATAGTCAGTGGCAACAATGATCGCCGTTTCCATGTCGACCAGGGCGGTCTGTTGTCACTTTCTGCACCGCTGAGGAAGAAGGACAAACCCTTCCACCAGCTAAAGATCCAGGTAAAAGAGGCTGCTTTAAAAGAGGCTCGTTGTTGGGGTTTTTTTACCTAGCCGACTGGAAACAAATATTCTGTCAATCCTATCAAATTGCTCATGTCACTTCTGATATTTAGAATTCAGTTTTCACACCATGAGTAAAACTAAAAAAAGAATAAATTGTTTTCCTGCTGTTAAAACCTGCTGTTTCCCTTTTAGCCTCAACTGCTGTCAGGGAATGTGAAATTTCCTCTTGAATCTCTTCACAGTTACCTGCAAACTAGAAGCTGTATGAAATCTTCCTTTTAGATTATTTCATCTAAAATGGCTTATTTGAGTTTTGATTCAAAAAATGTTGCCCTAATGAAATGCTGTTTATGTAGTGTACAGATCAAGCTCCTGTAATGTGAATTGCTGTACTAGTACATGTAATGAAGTTGATTAACAAGATTTTGAACAAAAGTATTTTTAACAAAAATCTTTTTTTAAAAGAATATAGAATTATGTAAAAAGGGGGAAAATAACTGGATTTTCTATTTCATTTTTTTTTCTTCAGGCAACAGACAGTGGTCACCCTCCACTGTCCTCTATCTGTGTGCTTAACATCAACGTCACTGAGCAGAGCAAGTATCCTCCCACTGTCACCCCCCTTGAGGTTTTCATTACTACCACCGGAGGCCTCTTTGCAAACCGGGTCATCGGCAGACTCCATGCATCGGACCAGGACCTGCAGGATGTCTTGACCTACAAGCTGGTTTCAGAAAAGCCAGAGGGAAAAAGGTTCTCTGTGGACCTGACAGATGGGAAAATCTGGGCAGATGAAAACCTGGAGGTGGGCTCATATGTGCTGAACATTAGTGTGAGCGATGGGAGGTTTTCTGTTTGGACAGAGGTCCAAGTTCACATGTGGGCAGCCAGTCAGAGAGCCCTGGACTCTGGCCTGACAATGCAGCTGGTTGGGATGTCACCAGAGGAGTTTCTGGGAGATTATTGGAAAGGCCTCCAGCGCAAAATGGCACAGTCTTTAAGCCTACCCAAACAGGAGCTTTACTTGGCCAGCCTGCAGCAGCTGCCTGACACCAAGGCAGTGGAGGTACTATTGGTTCGGAGGCCTGAGGGGGGACTCATCAAGTCTCTGTCAGCTAGCAAACTGCAAGGTAAGCTGTCAGAAGAATACCTTCCTTATAAAATCAATGATCAAAACAGTGCATGCAATCTGACTGTGAACACTTTCATATAGGTATTATAGCAGAGATTGAGGACTCTCCAAGCATCAGAATTCCCAAGGTGAGCCATGAAGGGTGTGTAGCAGCCAGCTGTCTGTCACACGGCTGCAGGAAGGCAGTGCTGCTCTCAGGAGAACGACTGAGCCATTTCACCACAGCGAGAGTTGGTTACATCACACCGCACCATACCTGGGAAAGCGTCTGCTTCTGTAAAGGTACCTCAGTCTGTCACAGTCTCTGTGTTTTTATGAGTTTCAGAGAGCCAGATATCAGAGTGGGTACTGATGTAAGACTATGTGATACTAAGTGGAAGTTGTATGGTGCAGGAATGCAAATGCAGAAGTTCACTAAGCAAAGCTTGGCACCTATCACTCTGAAGATCTGAGTCTGCGGCCTCACATCTCACACATACCTTGACAGTCTATCCAGTTCAAAACAGTACAATCTCATAGCAGACAAGAAACTCTGCATGACTTTGAGCAATTTAATTATTACTAACTCTATAAATACCCACAAAGAGAGAGAACAGAGAGTCTTCAGTCTTAAACGCATTCAAATGTGGAGAAAATTGAAAAGACAAAGATTAGAGTTTTATCTTAATTTTATTATTTTGTATCCACTCAACTGAAATAGTACTTATAATGAAGGGTAATTTTAATAACAGTCCTTTCATATGACCAGTAACCATGACTTTAAGTTTAATACAACCACCTAATGGGCTGGAGCGATAAAGTCTTACACTCATTAAAAGTAACATTATCAAAAATCAATTGTCTCTGTGATTTGGAATATTCCAAAGAAAACAAATGTAAGTATAGAAAACAGTGAAGTCCAAAAATGGTAACAGATTTATTTACAACAAAAAATCTGATCTGGGCACAAAAAGGAAACAAGGTCAACAAAACCAAACTTAACACAAGAAAGTAAAGTACTAATTGACCTAAAAAAAAAAACTGACACACAAAGGGGAACTATATATACTGTCTGATCAGACCATTTTGACACAAGAGGGAACATTAAATACATTAACCTAAACAAAATTACAATAAAAAGACCAAACTAATCTATCCAATACAAAATCAGCAACCTATGAGAGAAAATAACTCAAGTAATTAAACTCCAATTTTAATTAAAGCAAAAACCTAACAAAAAGGAAAAACTTAAACCTTCCCACACCTCTTCTAAAATAAGTGGAAGAGTCCAATTAAGTCTCAGTGCCACTGAGATTTATTGCAGCTGGGCTCTTGCTTCACTGGCCCAGCCAAGCCAACATAGCAGCCTCCCAGGAACTGGCAACTCAAAAATAAAGTATTAGTTTAAAGTAAACGATACAAGCAAAATGAATCAGCCAAATGTGTGCACCCAAATAATTAATCAATGCCAAATCATATAAGTTAAAAAGGAATCAAAAACAACATGATAAACAAATATAAAGCAATGCATTTAGATAAGAATAATTATCTGAGCATTTATTGAGGGGCTGCACATGCTGCCATCACACACTGCCAACACTTTCCTGCCAGAGTAAAGCACTCTGTTAAAACAGAACCTTACAGCATGCACATTATTTTATTTAAACACTCAAACACTACTAAAATGTGAGTTTGTCTAACAAGAACACTTCTATATTTGGAGCAAAAATTCTAGATACTTCTTTTTTATTTTGGCTTCTGCAAATTCAAACCAAACAGAGTGGTAACTTATCTGTTCCCAATAAACAGTAGAGTTAAAACTGAATCTTAACATACTCTATTAAAAACTAAAAGACTTTTAAACAAATTTCTTCTAATTCACTGTCTTGCATTAAGTCAGACTACAGATTTCCGGGGTTTTTTATCTTTCAGGATTACCCAGTAATCTTTTTTCTTTTTTTTTCTGCAGGAATATTTGTTCAGTGTGTCTCCATAAATGTCTTATTTTAGATTACAGGGTTATTTTAGGTACCAGAGAAAATGTTTTCAAAAAGAGTCTGTTTCCTGACAAACATTAGCTGAAATAACAACAACACTAGTAAACAGAATAAAATTAGGATTCTGCCAAATTAGAAATTTTGTGGATTCAGGTACAGATACAGAAAATGAATGACCTTCTCTTGGAACCAATTTTCTACCCTCATCTTTTAATCATCATGCCTAATGGATCACAGATTAGAAAACTAATTGCTTTCAGCTAGAAACTGAGAAAATTGAATCTGTTAAATTAGTTTAACTTTGATAAGGAAGAAGTCATATTTCTGAATATCTCATTATTCAGCATTGGTAGAGCGGAATGCCCTTTAGCTTTTAATGAATTAGGATTAAGATTATGAAGTCCTTTGTTTAAATGTCACACACCAAATAGATTAAGGTGAAAAAAAAATTAAGTAATATATTCAATTTAACGGTTATTAGCTAAAATGTACATCACTTGCCTTTTCAACAATGAGTTGTGAGTATGAGTAGATACAGTAAGAGAAGAACAAACAAATAAATGCAGCATCTTTTATTTCTGGCTTGTTAACTATTACCTCTAGTGAGAGGGACTGTTCAGCAGTTGAAGAATTTTATTGCCACTGTCACAAAACAATTTTGTGATCTTATCTCTTTAAGCTGCCTTTTCCTGGTCATAAAACACAATTGGAGCACTCTCTTTAGACCAAAACAAGATGTCTGACAATCATTGCCTATCTTTTCCTTCACCTTCAAGATGAATTAACCAAAATATTATATTTCAGCCTTTTTTATTGTTACACGATAATGTTATTCAGTTCAATTCAGTTTATTTATATAGCGCCAATTCACAACACATGTCATCTCAAGGTACTTTACAGAGACAATTTAACCAGATCATGGAGAAAGATTGGTTTAAAGTTTTCTATCTAAGGAAAACCACTCAATTGCATCAACTCATTGACTCTTTAGCAATCCCTCACACCACACATGATTGTACACTGGAGGGAAAACTCCTTTTAACAGAAAGAAACCTCCAGCAGAACCAGGATAAGTGTAAGCGGCCATCTGCCAAGGCTAACTAGGGTTCATGAAGACAGAAGCAGAGATACATAAAGAAGGAGAGATACAAAAGGTAACTGTCAACCAGCTTCACAGGCAGCCCTGTCCAGGAAATATACAGCCAGGCAGACAAGTTCCAAGCAAGCTCCCATGTAAGAGGATGAAAAAGAGCACATACAGTTTGTCTCAGTAAGAGAACCACTACACTGAAAAACAGGCCAACCTCCAACATCCATAAACAAATTCATTGAGGGCAGCAACAGAGATGATATTTCTCTCCAGGACGGTGTCACAGCCAAACAGGAACAGACCAGAGGGAGCTATTATAAGAAAAAGCAGCTAGCATAACATTAGAGATTGAACTAAGAAATACTGCAGAATGGGAGAATATATACAGAATGAAGCAGAATAATGAAAAGGGGTCCTTATGTCCTCCAGCAATCTAGGCCTATAGCAGCATAACTACAGAGATAGCCCAGGATAACCTGAGCCACTCTAACTATAAGCTTTATCAAAAAGGAAAGTTTTAAGACTTGCTTTAAACGTAGACAGGGTTTCTGCATCACGGGCTAAAACTGGCAGTTGGTTCAATAGGATAGGGACCTAATAATTGAAAAATCTGCCTCCCATTCTACCTTTAAAAAATCTAGGAACCACTAGTAAACCTGAGAGTGAAGTGCTATGTTAGGAACAATCATATCTCTGATATAAGATAGATCTTGGCAATTTAAGGCTTTATATGCGAGAAGAAGAATATTAAATTCTGTTCTGGATTTAACAAGAAGCCAATTAAGAAAAGCTAGGATAGGAGAGATATGATCTCTCTTTTTCTGACTTCTAACTAGTTTGTGGACTTCCTGATGATAAAGAATTACAATAGTCCAGCCTTGAGCTAAAAAAAGAACTAATAAAAGAAAAAACTATCATTAATCTTCATTCCAGACAAAATAACGGCCCATAGCAAAAAAAAAAACAAAGGTGCACAGGTGGGCTAGGATCAATCAATCAGTCAATCAATCAATCAATACGAAATGCTTTAGAAAGTGTTATTTTTACAAAGGGGTTAACCACATATTAAAATTTTCTGACCAGCTATCGGCTTGTACATACTGCCTATACATGCAACAATCATCCGACTGGTCAACATTTATATAATGTCGGAAATATTTAACCTTATTACAGACAGGAAGAAGTCAGGGGTTATCAGATCATCATTAATAAGGCACTTGAGGCAAATATATGAATTTAATGTAGAAATTCATAAGAAGTTGAATAACTGGCTATGTTATCAAGAAAACAGACATGGTGTAAACCTCCCTATAAGCCCACTAAATATTTGTCCTCTTTCTCTCTGTAGAATGTTGAACTTCTAGAACTTTGGTCTATCAATAAGCTTAATTATGCTTACCACTTAATAGGCAACAACTTTTGCTGATAGTCTTCCACTTTGGCACACACTGCTACTCTGCCTATTACCTTCTCGAATAATGCCTCTGTAAGCAAAAATAGTAGTTCATCTTTTTAATCCACATATCCTTATTGTGTTTGCTTAATCCACTGTTTTAGCACGATATCTGTTTTTACTCTTGAGGTCAGATTTAGAATCTGGTGTCCTGTTTTGTATTTTAGTTTGTTGTTTTTGTCTCCCAAAGTACCAGAGAGCTTAAAGGTGGAAGTTAATAAGTTTTAATGAGGAGTTGTTTATCCCACAAGCTTGGAACATTTATGCTTTCCAGTCTCTCCACTTCCCTGATTAAAGTTTGATCTTCAAGTCAACAAAATATATTTTTGATATGCTCTATTTCTGACCTTTCTCTTTAGAATTTAATAATGTTATGGTCTCTGCAGATTACTTTGTTCTTATCTAGTCAGTTTTTTTTCTTATATTTCTCCACTTTTAATGGATTTTTTAATTAAAACTGAAATTTTTATGCTTCTCTGTTTGCAAACTGTTTTTATTTGATCAAGTACATGTTCTTTCTAGTGGCAATAAACTAATGCCAAGGAATACGCTTTCAAAAGTTTCAAAAGTGCCTTAACTTAAACTTGATGTAATTCCGTAATGACACATATCAGATATAGATCAGCCTAACGGCAAAGGAGCGATTGCAGCAAATTTATGGAAGGTATCATAGCTAATGTATGCATTTTATAAAGTAGTAAGTATTATTCGTACAAAGATGTACCTTCCTTACTGTATGCAGTCATGTAATTTGTTTCTACCACTAATTTATATGAGATTCATTCTAAAGCATAATTTCCTCAGCAGAATTGTTTTTTTCTTATTTTATATAATTTTCCTCACTTGTTTCACCTTTTTTTTCAGAGTCAGCTCTCAGGTTCAGCAGTACATCCTACATGAAGTATCTTCACAGACTGGACGAGGACAGCCAGGATTTCAGACTCTCACTGAGGTTTAAGACTTACCAGGATCAGGGCCTAATCATGTCCACCAGAGGTGCAAGCGATTGGGGGGCTTTACAGGTATTTATCCTTTTGTGCCTCTGAAAAAAAAGGTGCAAAATCCTACTTTTTAAAATATTCTTGAGTTTTGTTGTCTTGTCATAACAAAAGAGACCCAAGAATCTTTAAAATCTTTTCAACAGTACATCAGGGTATAACACGACTACCTAAACTGAAGAGTTATTTCAGGATGAGGGTACTTAAGGATACTCTCAACAACCTTTCTTAATTGTAATAAAAAATAAAAGAAAAATTAGGGGAAGACAGGCTGAGAAGAAACACACTGGAAGTAATATAATTGCCCTGAAATGATGCAGACCTTCATTATTTGCATTTATTTGAAAGATTCTATTTGTTGTGCTCTTCCCTGAGCTCAGGGCTAATTTATTCTGCTCTTCGAGTTTTGCCACTGCAGAGAGATTAAATCTCTTCCTAATTTCCGGATACTGTTAGTGTAATGTTGTTGTTTGACACTAATTTATAGGCGTAAAGATAAAATCAAGGTTCTACTGATTTTCTCTTTCTGAGTATTCCTTGTCGAGTTTTCTCTTTGAGAGTTTTCTTTGGGGAACACCGACAGTAAGGAGACATGTACGATTTCAAAATGTTTTCAGCCCAGAATCCAATATACTTTAGCTTGTCAGTGTGCCATAAATTCTTTGCATTTTCTTCATTAAGGGTGCAATTGTATAATGCCTTTTGAAACAACTCAATATCTTCACTGCAAAAACACTATGTCTAAATATATATCTAAAAATAAAATAAAAAAAAATTAAATTATATCACGTGTGTTTACCCTTAATTTGAGTAGGTAAATAAGATGATCTGCCAATGTAATGAGTAGTTTACTTTTAAAATAAGAACATTAGATATCATGCACCTGAAATTAGAGATTGCAGTTGTTTTTTCTTATTATAAATATAAATATCTTATTCCATTTCCAATCTACCTAAACTCTTATCCAGTTCCACATTAGTTTATCATGTCAGCCATTCTGGTTTTGTAGCTTGTAAATCCCATGTCGCCTTTAAAATTCCCAGTGAGGGAGACTACTGTTCTTTGAGAGTCCAAATGAAAACTTTACTGTCATCAAGATTTATTGATATTTTTATGTAGCACAGCTAAGGGAAAAGAAGAATTATTTGTACGCTTGAGTGCAAGGTCCATATATAAAAATACATTTGCATAGTGAAGGTGAACAAGGAGTTGTTCTTTGAGAGACACTGATAATTTTGTAAATGAAAGACTATGAACCTGAAGCTCTGTAAGATATTTTACCTTGCTGAAGGAAAACTTCAGAAGCCTAACAGGGTGTTTTTCAAGGTCCCAAAAAAAAAACATTTTCTGCCAACAATCCTGTGTTGAAACTCAAGATGATTTTGTAACCAAACTGAATGACTCACACCTGAGTTCTTACGTCTTTGGACTTCAGTTATATTTTGTACACCTTATTCACCACTGGAACATAAGCTCCATTGTGTTTCGATGGGTTAAACACTTTCAAGCTTAAATTTTGCAGCTGCTGATTTGTTTTGTTTAGCCACACATTTTATTCTAGTTTAAATCAGCAAGTTTGATGGAGAACTGGAGCTGCTTCAGTGGAAAACAACAGCAGTAAACTGTGAAGAACAAGTGAAGGTGACGTGTCAGCTGTTTATATGAGGTGACAGCTTATACCTGACAGCAGAACAGTTAGCACATTCGACAGTGAACAAGGAGGGGGATTTGTGCTGATGTGGAATCAGTGGACCAACACTAACTCCTTGTGCTCACTGCAGTAATGCAAACTGACTAGTTTTATTTCTGGCTTTTATGTTGGCAGGTGAGCAGGAAGGGATATTTTCTCAAACAGTTGCGACTCTGAAAAAACTGGCTTGCTCAACAAAACAACTAACCATCCTTTGGTTTTCAGCCATGATAGACACATGATAATGTGCCTGCACAATCAAATAATGTCTCATTAAATGTTGGACATATAAGCAATCAAGTATAAATGTATAGAGCTAATGGATGGATGCACAGATGGACGGACGGTCAGGACATGTGGGACTTTGATTCTGATGACCCCAATTCAACTCTCTTCCATTCCCTTATCCACCATACTTGCAAGCTCCATCTGGCTTCTTCTCCATGCTGCTACTTCCCCCTAATGAAGTGATTCCCTGGACCCATACAGCACTTATAAGGCATACCAAGTCGGTCCGGCAGAAGACCGCCATGTTGAGCCTGGTTCTGCCCGAAATTTCTTCCCAAGGGGAATTTCTCCTCTCCACTACTGCTCTATGCTTGCACATCATGGTTCATACAAACCTGTGCATTATTCCAGCTAGCTTCCATCTTCATACAATCTCTGTTCCACCACTCTGACACCAAAGTCTTAAAATATTGTTTCATAAAAACTCTTCTAATTGCCTTTGTTCTTTTGTGATTTTTCCAGGTTGAAATATGATTAATGTTCCCATGACTGCCTACTAAACTTTTCCCTGTGGCCTTAAGCTTATTGTAGGAGCCTTGCAGCATTTTAGACTGTGACTTACTAAGACATGAAGCCAAAAACTTCCAAGAACTTCCAGTCCCAGTTGAGTTTGGAATCATAGATTGCACATGTTAGATGGGCTTGATTGATAATGTATGATCATTGATCCATTAAACTGTGCTCTGTATATTTTATATACCATCATGAATAAGTTGCACCAAGCGGGTATATTGGATAAAAGACAACTAATAGAGGTCTCACAGGTTTCTTTGTCAAAACATTTTCTAATGATATGGCAAAAGTCTTTATTAATCGATGTGGGGCATTCTGCAAGTTAAGCCTACAGAATTAATTTCTGCAAAGGATGCGAAAAAACTTTTTGGTATGGGACAGTGGAGAAAATAGAAGTTCCCTAAAAATAACATACAAAAAACAACTGAAAGAGTTTTAATAATTAATGTTTTTAGAGGCAGTTGCACTGGCGCTGATTAAGAATAAGCCTTTAGTGTACAGTAGCAGTTTGCAAAATATATCTTTAATACAGAAGATGTGAAAAGGGATTCTAATGCATAAAGAAATCCTGAACAGATAAAAGGCACTGGAAAAAGCTGCTGGCTTATTACTTTTTTGGAATGCTGAGCATGCAGAAAGACCAACGGGCTATGGTCTGTGGAGATAAAATGCTGAGCATGTTTGTTTGACTTTACATGCGTTGTGTCAAACAGAACAGATGAGGAGCACATCAGCAAAATACTGTTTTTGTAACACAAAGAACAATTGGAAAAAGACAGAAACATGAGCAGCTTTATAGATTTCAATTATGAGATTCATGAACCACACCTGATCAAATGAAGTTTACCTTCAGGGCTGCACAGTGGTGCTGTTGGCAGCATTGTTTCTTCAAGGAGAAGGTCCTTGGCTTCAAACAAATTGAATGCATGGGGTTTGCATGTTCTTATTTTAAAAACATCATTGTTAGATAAATAGTTATAAGGGTGTGTGTATACTTGTTTTATGTTACCTATTTAGGACCTTTTTTGGTATATTTACTAATCTTTTGAATACCAAGAATATTGGAGCCAAAGGCTGGTTCTAATGTGGCAAAACCCCATTTTTAACATTAGAGAGTCACGTTGATTTGGATAATCGTTTGATAACTTAAATCATTCTTTGAAAAAAAGCATTTGTATTTGATCAGGTAAACTTTTAGAGACACGTTTAACATGTAGGTTAGATCATAAGGTCAAAACAAGAAATCTTGGGCAAACAGTTTTCCAATGTTTTCTGTTTACGGCCTGTCAAGTACGTTGGCACCCTAAACGAACATTTAATAAATAAGGATTGCATATTTTTATAAATGTGGAGAAGTTTGAGTAAAACACACTGAGTCATTTTGTCACTTAAGGGCAGTTTACCTCATTAAGTGTCAGGAAATTTGCAGTACTGTGTTTGTAGGGTTCTGGATCTAAAATACAGATTTATTTGTATGTTATCATAGATTTTTTGGATTTCAGAAATATCTAAAGTCTGATTTTTCTTTTACTAATCTATTGTTTTATTTTTTATTTCCCCAGCTGCTCAAAGGAGAGCTGCAGATCAGATATAGATGTGGAAACAAATCTCCAGCCACACTGCTGGTTCGATCCCCACCAGTCTCAGATGATCATTGGCATAGTGTCCTGCTGGAGGTCAATTCCAGCTCCATGAAACTGACTCTAGACCAGCAGCACCCAGCTTCCATCAGCCTGGGAGAACCATGCAGGATGATGGGCTCGCATGGTGCTTTACTGTTTGCTCCTCTGTCTCAGGACTCTGCTTTAGATTTCATCCAGGACGCTCATCATTTCATTGGCTGTCTGGAGGACTTGGAGCTTAACAGGGAGCCAATTTTGGCAGACCATACACCAGAGTTTACAGAGTCTGGAAGCAGGAGGGTGTTTGGGGTCTATCAGTGCTGCAATGGCGCAGGAGCCTGTGACAATCAACCATGCGACAATGGAGGAGTCTGCGAGGAGGATGCTGCTGGAGGTTAGTAAATGAGTCTGACTTTTCTTAAACTTCTTTACTGCTGAATATTACATTCCAGAGCCAAACAGGTCTGTACCAAAGGTAGTAATCTACAAGCCAGAATACACACTGACACAGCTTTCTGATTAGGGCAGTACTATGGAGATATCTTAACATACAAAGCATTCCTATTATTTACCATGACTAAAACAAACACAGAGAAGAGAATTATGTGACACTCCTACTGCTTAGCATGTATCCAACTGTCCACAGTGAATCTACAATCTGTTAAAACCACAATTCTATTTAAAGTTGAAAAAAAAAACTAACAAGCTACAAAGGAAGATAATAAAAAAAAAACGTGATCCTAGAACTTGAATTTTAAACCACTTCATTTTGCAATAGTATTAACAACACAGTTGTTTCTTTGGTCACTCTCTAGCATTGCGCCATGTTTAATAGCAATGAATGAAACCTAAAACTTAACCGTCTTTCAGCCAGCAAACTAGAATATGATGTCCTGTTTCAAATTATGAAGTTCTGAACAAAAATGCACAGTTTTTTTCCTATTGTTAGATCAATATTCACATTTGCAAATGCTTCCATGCTAATCTAAAAAGTTAACATTCCTTATGAGAAAGCTATTAGGGTTAAAATTCTTAATTGTAAGCTGCAAAGGGACTGATTGAATTGATTTTGAATTACTTGCAGCTTTGGATATTTATATAGCACCCTTAAATCTGAAAGCTGTTATAACGAAAATAGACATCAGCTAATTTACTCTTAAGATGCACAAGACCATTTTCTTATACAGGCTTACTGAAAAGTTAAATGCCTTTACCAACATACAGAGCTCCACATAATATTGGAGGTATCCCTCATTCACACAGACTGCTTCATCTGTGCTCCCTCCATTCTTTTGCAAATAAAAGCCTTTCCGGTCAGTGTTGTAATTCCTGCTGGCTCCCCTTCACCGCGGCTAGCCATGCTCTGCTGCCCATCAGATATATGGATTGAGTCTATTTGTGACTGATGACGGTGCAAAAGGTATCAATTTCTAAAAAAAAAAAAACTGATGAGCCAAACTGGAAGAAATTTTTAAGATAGGAGGCAATTCTTGTGTTGGTATTAAATGTATTGAGTTTGGACTCCTGCAAGGCAGTGTAGATGTGGGACACAGCATGTGCAGAGCTGATATTACCCTCCTTTGACCAGCTGGCTATGCATCAAAGCAGCAGATGGTGGAGAGGACCTTTTACTTTATGTACTATGTGGTTAAGGAAAATAATACCCCTCTTTTTTATTCATGGACAATAAATGTAAAGCAGGGAACCATAAGACATGAGATATCATCACTATAAGAACTGTTTTATATCCATGGTACCAGTGGCACCTCTAGAAATGTCTCATAGGGATGGCCAGATGGGGCCACTAAAAATCTTGGGTTGGCACACTGAAACTAAAAGCCATAATTTCAGGGTTTGAATCTACTATTGTGGTGAACCTGCCTGTAGAAATCATAGACTTAAGTCAACACCTACGTATATCTTGTTTTATTGTGTGATTTTTAATGTTAAGTCGCTGCCATAATGGGATGAAATGCTAAACTGATGGGGTGACCAGTGGATTGGCCAGGGCATTGCACAGGATGGCCTTGGTCACCCCCTGGTGGCACCACTGTATGGAACATCTGAAACTATCTCAGTTTGCTGCATATTTTTCCACATTTTTAGATCTTGTGCATAAAATTAAGTCAATCACTCAAGAGACATAATCGTTCAGCAATTCCATTTAGATATGTTTTTTTGAGGTTTATTAAAGTTAAGGAAATAAAAAAAACACTTTTTTCTAAAGCCATCTCTACAGAATGAAAAGTATTTAACCGTGGTCAATTATTTGATTTAGCGTTTGACTTTCATTTGTTTTAGATCAACAACTAAGGCTTTAGGAAGTACAAAAAGTAAAAAAAAAAAAAACAAGGTTTGGTCATGGCCCAGCATCTCATTAGAACTAAACTCCAAAGTTTCTCTTCTTCTTAAATTTTGTTCAGTTATTTTCTTATCCATTCGTGGACAGGAACTTGCTTCTGGGCCTTAGATGTTTGTGCTGCTCCAAAACTTAACTGCCGTGTTGTTTTTGACAGCCATCTTAGATTTAGTCTTAGTCTTAGTCTTCAGGACCAAAACTACTAAGTCTTAGTCGCATTTTAGTCAATTCGACATATGATAGTTTTAGTGGGTTTTAGTTGACTAAAACTTAAAGAGGTTTTAGTCTATTTTTAGTGTGTTGCAAAAAAAGTGAACATTTACAATTTTGAAAAACAACCAGGTTCTTTACCAGACTGAAAGCTCTAACCAAGAAACTTCAATTACTGGGTATAGAATGTTCCTGTGCAGTTCATTATTACTTTTGGGCAGAGAACTGTGATTTAAAGAATTCAAATAAACTTTTTTATGACCTAATGCCCTACTTTATAAAAAAAAAAAAGTTTCTGACAAAATTCTGGTGAAGATTCTCAGTAATACAGGTCATAGTCATTCCAAATTTTTATTATTTTTTTTAAAACAATCAACTGGACTGGAAGTTTGAAGACATGGGGAGGGAAATATCCTCAAACTTGGAAACAAAGTCCAGTGGATTTTTTTTTGGTTGTTTGTTTGTTTTTTACTTTTTTGGAATATCCCACAATACTTGTGAAAATAGCTAATCTAGTTCAACACATCATATTGATTAATATAGCAGACAGAAAATCTAACAAAATGTACAATAAAGGAATGGTTTTGGACATACGTTTCCATCGTAACGCAAACACATCCTGATCTACTATGAATTATGCAATACACGCGGATCAATAAATCTTCATTCCAAAAAAAGAAAAGAACAAAAGCATCCTTCTTTCTACTTTGGCAATTTTGGCTTTATTTCTGAGAATTTGTCCCTTAGTTACCTCTTTTCAGCTGTCCATTAGATTTAAATTTGCAGGGTTTGATATGAAAGAACAAAGAACCTACATAATTGCCTTGTAATGCCCTGGTAAACTAGACCTAAATTGAAAGAATATGCTACTGAAATGTTGACATATTTAAAGAAAACAGAAAATGTTTTAATGACAATAAAAGGAAACATTTACATCATATCTATGTAGATAGAAACGAGAACTATGAGAAAGAAATATTCAAAGATCTATGTATCTCCTCATCTGGCTCTTTATCCAAAAATAAACAAAATGCAATTATTTTATTTGGATATAATTTAGGTGGAAACAAATTAATGTTTAGTATCACTTCTTGTGAGCTGGAAGAAGTAAAATAATATTAAAGGGATTAATTACGATTGGCAGAGGATGATCAGCCCCATATAGTTTATAAAGTAGCGAGAGCATGAAGAGCCATAATGCTGAGAGCGAACCATCAGTGTGGAGTGTGGAGCGTGGAGCGCAGACTCGGAGCTCCGCATCTCCAAAGACATATTTCAGCACAAGCAAAGATGGAAGATCAGGGCAGAGTTAGTCAGAGTTGAGTAAGCAGTACTGACCATTCTGGGTTATTTTCTCAGACCCTGTTGCTGCTGTCTTGATCCATCTGTGCTCCTGCAGGACGTGTAACGCTGTGTGGCAGGTGGATGGCAGGATCAAAAAAGACGCAGCAGCACTGGTGATACTGCTTAGCATATTACAGGACAATGATACAGTTTAAACATCTGACCGACGACCAAATTTGTATTTAGTCTTGTTGACTAAAAACTTAAATCTATGACTAGTTGTATTTTAGTCATCAAAGGCACATGTTTAGCTCGTCAATGTTTGTTATCGTTATGAAAAAAAAGGAGCGTCAGCGACATGATTTCGTCATCCTAATCGTTTATTAAAACAGCACTGCTTAACTGTTACTTGAATGTCACAGATTAACCATTGCATATCCTCCTTCATTAAGTGGTCCATGTCTTGATATATTATAATATACGACAATAATTATTTAAAAGGGTCTATCTTTCTTTTCATGATTTGAAGACATGAATGTGGCAACATAAGACATTTGTCTCAGTCCTGCATGTTTTTCCAGGATCATAGATTTTGAAAGAAAAATAATTGTTTTAACACCATAAGTTTTGCTATTTATAGCTTTTTATCTTAAAAGTTTACTTTATTTGTAAAGCTTATAAGAAGCTTATAAGATTTGAAATGGGTCAAGCATTAGATCAGAAAACAGTGGGGAATCTGATGCAGAGCTCAATAATCTCCAGGTATCATTGACTTGAGCTGCATTTACGTAAACTGTTAAAGAACCACTTCTTCCCTTAGGTCTGCGCTGTAAAAATAAATTATTGTCTTCAAAATGTACTGCAGATATGCAATTGTTTGAATCTTTAACCACTTTGGAAGTATCGTTCATGGTTGCAAGTTTTAAATACTGAAGTCATGTGGTTTCTTTATTAAAATACTTCATTTTTGTTTTAAGACCAATGTAAAAGCCTCAGTTTTCCAGAACATGTGCAGATGTGGCTTGGCAGCTCAGCAGCTGTGCAATGTCAACAAATTGAAGAGAAGTGGACCTTCATACTTGACCATACATAGAACTTCTAATAAAAAAAAATCACAGGGTCCTACCTGATCTTTACATTTTTGTAGATCCTACGCTGATTATTAGAATATCGTCCTAAATGATCAAAGATTAATGTATGTAGGTCTTGGATTGTGTAAAGTTCCTGGTAGAATTATTTCATAATTTAACCTTTTTAGTAGTTTTTGCGACTTGTTAATCTGCCCGAGTTTTAAGTTATTATTAATTGGAGAGCTGGAACTGATAAATTCAGTGGACACTAGTGTCTGAGGAGCTTCAGTTTTAACAGTTTGTTTGTGATAAGACATGTACCTAGCAGCTGGATTTTACATTACGGAAAGAAAGGATGATAAATCAATTGAACTTAACAAATAAAATCAGCTTTTAGATATTAATCTTATGAGCTTTAGAGCTAATTATTTTCGCTGCATTTAAAATAACAGGAAACAAAGATATTTTAGATGTTTAGACCTTTAGATGTTGGAGATCAGCCTTTTTTTCAGTGTAGTCCTGTTTCTCTGACTGTGACTGGTTGGATGTGCTCTCTTCATCCTCTGACATGGGAGCTGGCTTAGAGCTCGTCTGCTTGGCTGGACGGGACCACCTTTTACAGTTGGCTTTTGTATCTCTGCTTCTTTCTGTATCTCTGCTTCTCTCTCTTTGAACTCCAGTCAGCCTCAGCAGATGGCCGCTCACACTGAGCCTGGTTCTGCTGCAGGTTTCTTCCTGTTAAAAGGGAGTTTTTCCTCTCCACTGTTGCTACAAGCATGCTTTGTGTGAGTGAGTGCCTTTGAGTCGATGCAGTCAACCTGATAGAAAACTTTTAATCAATTTGACTGTATGATCTGGTGAACTGTAAAGTACTTTGAGATGACATGTATTGTGAATTGGCACTATTTAAATAAACTGAATTGAATTGATTAGAAACAGATATCCATGAGAATTACAAAATGTTACTCCTCATTATTTAAAATCACATTAAAGTTATGTTTTAGTTACATAAACAGTGCTTTATTTCCCCACTCAAGGTAAGGCCAATGTAATCAGACAGGTGTTAAAAAAAAAGCCAACTGTCAAGGTTTGTTTTTTTAACTACAGCTTCCTCTACAGCTGGGGAGTAGGTGAAAGGCAGATAAGATAGCAAATGTTTTCCTACTATAGTTTTTTTTCAGGTCATGGTTATGAAAACAACACAAGTTTTCAAGGGGCTTTTAAATACTTCATAATCGTTATACTTGTTTTTTCATGAGGCAAAAACATTTTGATGCTGTTGTTGCCACACATTAAGGTTTGCTGATGACCTGATGACTATATTCAACATCTCATACAAAGACTGTTGGGGAAAGTCCAGAATAGAGCTTCATAGTGTTAAGAAATCATGCACATTGAATTTTTTTAATATGATATTCATATATTCACTTTCATCATGGTCCCCTGTTAATTAGTGGCATTTATTTATCAAACTGTTTCACAAAAAGGAATTACCGCCTCAGATTTGTTGTTGCATTAAGTTGCTTATACTTATAATTCTATGTTTAGAGCTTCTTTTGCCTTTACTTGCCATTAAAAGTGATGAAATGTATGTGTTTTTTAATCTTTTTTTAATGTCTCACCATTATCTTTGTTGTTTTCAATTAAACAGTTGATATTTGGTAATCATGTAACCATTCGTTATAAACATTTAAAGCTTCTAAACAAGATGCCAGTGTTTTAGTTTGAGGGCTGCTTTTTCTCATTTAAATATCAAACACACCTCTATATACTCAGGCCGAATCCCGCCGACCTTTCCTGTGATTAATTCCTCCCTGTTGGGGATGTTCAATACGCTTTGATCCGTTGCTCTTGTCTCAGTTGTCAATGTGCATTTTATTTCTTTCTACAGAGCCCCATTGCACATGTGCAGGAATCTTCCATGGCCCCCGCTGCGAGCTGGCCGGCAACCCATGTGTTTCGCAGCCATGTACAAATGGTGGAGTATGCATACCAAAGGCTCAAGGCTACATTTGTAACTGCTCAACAGACAACACTGAAGCAAGGTAAAAACATGCATGCTTGTCATATGGATTCCATTTTTCTACCTGGAAACATTGTAAATCTCTTCTGTTTTAGTTTTACACAAAGACTGTATATATATATATATATATATATATATATATATATATATATATATATATATATATATATATATATATATATATATATATATTTTTTTTTTTTTTTTTTTTTTTTTTTTTTTTTTTTTTTTTTGAGTAAAAGGAAATCAGTGAATACCCACTAATCACCAGTGAGAAATCATTATGTTTGCCACCACTGAGTACATCAAGATTAAAGCATACCAAGAGGCTTTAATCTATCGATTGTAGGATCTTTTTAGCAGGGTATCTGCTGCTGGTATTCAGGCATAAACTGAGTGGTAGAGAGATTAAAATGGCCAAATATTGAAACAGCAAAAAAAAAACAAAAAACAAAAAAAAACAATTACCTGCCATACCATCATTACCCAAATAAATTGTGTTTGAACGTTCCCACCAAAATTGTAATTACATACTTTCAAGGTAAAGATAATAAAAAATAGGGAAAAAAAAGCTTAATCTTCCACTTGTTTTTTTAAGGAATAATGTGCACAGCCCTAAATACACAAGCACATAAAATTGAACTTACATATCCAAATGAACAAACACACACTTGCACACAAACATGTTCCTCTCATCAACAGCCACTTGCATTCCTCGCACACCACCAACAGCCGTCGAACAAATTACTAAGGCATTTGCATATTCTCCCTTTCATTAAATCCATCTGTGGAATTGCATCGCTCCTCACAGTTATTGAGAGCAATCCACATTGCAGGTAGTGTTCCGACTGAGTGAGTGAAAAATGACTGTGGGATGTAATTGCAGGAACTTGGGCTTTGTGTGACTTGTGCAGTCTTTAAGGCTGTTTTGTCACATTTGAGCATGTCATTGTAAAATCACTTAGTTAAGTTAAACCACTAGCAACTGATATTCATTTATAAAGGGTGATTTCAAATTTTTGTTTTTCTCCGTCAGAAATTTTATTTGAGAAGCACATTTGAGTTGGCTGCTTGAAACTAATTTTAGAATTGCACATCAAGTGAATTAAGAATCTCTTAAATGTAATGGGTCAACATAAAATTTGTCTAAGTTAACTCCAAATGGAAATTTTTTTAGTCATAACCCAAAATCAGTTCCTTCTCTAAAGAGTAAAACAGAATCAGAAAATCACTCTTTAATATCAAAGTTGTGCAAAAACAGCTCTTTTGAGCAAAATACTTTTTCCAGAGCTAAAATACTGTGAACTCTGCAAAAAAAATACTCTTATGGTAACATCAAACTCCAATATATGCAAACCTAAATAAAATAATAGGCTTGTGTAGTAATGTAGAAGCACTCAGCAATCCCTGTGGTCCTTCGTGCAGCGTTTCTTACTTCGGAAGATGAAGGACTGCAGTTAAGCTTTTAGTTTCATTAGCAAAGTATGACCTTTACTCTCTAGGGCTATTACTGACAGACATACTGGCTCTAAGCTGTTAAATTTAATTAAATGATTTAAGCAAACAGATAAAAGACATAGGTTTTTGTCAAAATGCTGCTAAAAAAAAAACAGGAGATTGTGCTATTATGAAGGTTTCTTTCTCTAATCATTTAATTAATTCAAATTTTTTGGTTGTTAAAGAAAAGGAATGCAGCCTTTGGGATATTTCCAAATAATAAGCTAGTAAATTATCTTATGGCCTTTTAAATTTTTACGTTTAAATTTTTGCACCATGTTTTTTCTCCCTCAATGTTTACATTTGATCACTGCTGCACTTTAAAAAATTGAAACATCATGAGACCTGTACAAAACCAAATTTTGTTGTTTCTACTCTGTATATACAAAATGAAAATAAAAGTTTTTAGCTGCACTCTACTTATAGCATATTTTAGAAAGGAAATTCCAGATACCCTGTTAGAAAGAAGAAGAATTTATCTCATCCTATAACATGGATCAAAGATCTGTTAAATCTTACATCGTTACGATGACTTGATGTAGTCAAAAAATGTCTAAATGAATATGATCATCCATTGAGAACAATCACTCTAGTCATCAGGTTGATGAATTTGAGTAAATTGAACACAACTGACCCAGAAAAATGTGTTTACTTTTATTGCTCTACTTAAATAACAAAGAGTCTACATGTGATTCAAACTGGTGCAAGTTTACTTATTTGTTCCTTTCTGGTATGTTAAATCTATCTCTATTATTGCTTCAGATGCCACAATGAGATTGAGGTCTGCTCGCCTAATTTCTGTCCCGGAGGCTTTGACTGTAAAGTTGTTGATGGCTCCGTCCACTGTGATCCGCTGCCAGTGGTCAGTTTTATTTACATTTTACAGTTTGGGATCAGTCATAGTAAATATTCATACCCTGCATGTAACACAAAGCATCTCCTATCCTCTGTCAGGTATCTCCAGGTATTGGCTATGTGGAGATAGCACAGATCTGTGCTGGAGTGCTGGGAATAGTCCTCTTGGTGGGAATCTTCATCTTTGCAAGAAAATATTATGTTCATAGGAAGAAGAGAAAACCTGTGTGTGTCCAGGACTCAAATGGGTAAATATTATATATATTTTCTTCTTGTTATTAAAGTGAGGTGTGTTTTTATATATCTAAATGATTTTGAATATCAGCAAAATGAAAAATGCTGTTTAATTAATTCAACTGGAAAAGTTAAATTTCAAAAAGCTGTCATCGCAAAGAGCAGGGTTTTGTTTCACATTTATTTATTTATTGTCCTAGTTTATTGTTAAAGAAAACCCAATTTACAGGAAAGAATATGTATCAGACACTAAATAATGGAGAAGACTATTATCCTGGCATCTGTCCAGTAGACAGTCATTCACAGCCAGGTGAATATTAATAAAATGCAATGAAGTAATTTAAAGTTTTTATATATTTAGTTTTATTTAGTAATAAGTTTTTTTTATCTTTATATAAAGTTTAGAGGAAAGAAAAAAGGTGGTCGAAGAAAGGAGCACAATCTCAGCCTTAAGAGGATTGTGAAAAGAGTGAAACTAAAGAACTTGTTGGGGACTCATGAAAGTTTTGCCACAAATTACAAAGTAGACCAATGCTGTAATTCCTGCAGAAGAAAACCCAACAATGAGTGCTAAATCGACAAACTTTTCAGTTGGGCTATTTTTTTAAGTAATATTTGTATATTTTGTTATAACCTTTTATACCTTATATGTTTTAGCCAGTTTGTAATGAAATAACTGTATTCGAGTTTCACTCTTTGAGGTAAATTAATTTAATATCCAGTCTTTTTGCAGAATCTTCCATGTAGATGGGGCAACGTAAATAAAAGCCATTTTACCCTTTACTTTTTCGAGGCTCAACTTTTAATTTGAGAGCCTTGAAAATCGTTTCAGTGTGGACAGCTACAGAAATATTTTCTATCTTTCAGGCTCAAGTTAAACTTGTTTAACTCTCCTTGTTTATACTAAAAAAGCCATATTAAAAAAAGCATAAATCAAAAGTGTCAGTTGTTTAGATTAGAGCTGAGAAAAAAACAAAATTATGGTAAATTTCTCAATTCAATTGTTGGTCTGCACCAAAAAAGCCAAAACACCCAGCCCAAAGGAAAAGGGAAATATATTTTAACATCTTTTCAGGCCACCACACATTTAAAGATTAGTAGAGAGTCATATACTGACAGTGTCAAACTTAGCTGAAACCATCTTTTGTTGATGCCAACAGGTATTTCCAGCCCAGTTTGGCTAAGAGCCTCAAAGTAGAGTGCCAAGATGGCAACCCAACTGAGGTGAGCTCATTGGTCTGCTCCACCAACAACCTGGATCACACACCATTCAGATCCCTGAGGCCGCGCAGTCAAATTGGTTCATCAGGAGGTGGATCTCCAAAGAGCCTGCGGCCAGTCGTGTGCAGCGTGGCGCCCAACATTCCTGTCAGACAGCCGTCAACCTCTGACAATGACTCCATCAGAAAAAACCAATGGGGCATGGACTATGAAGGTTTGTGGCAGTTTGTTTAAAAACTTTAACCAGGAAGAAGAAACAGAAATAGACACATAAGAAAAAAGAAAAAAAAAACACTTGTAGAATAAGTAAGATAAAGATTTTTTTGGTCTTTATGATAGTATAAAAATAAATTGGTTAGATCTGTTTATTTCAAAAACTTAGTTGATAAAGAAGATTAACTAAGATTTGTCTGATTTTTAGCAACAACTAAAGAGATTTTTAGCAACAACTAAAGAAAAAGCAAATAAATCATGCACAAAAAAAAGATAAGAGGACATTTCCATCAGTGGGCACGAACATTATTTATTTATTTATCTAAATATTTTAATTTTCTTCCTTATAATTAAGAGTTTGTTAAGAGTATGAATGTTTTGAATTTGACCAAAGTAATATTAATACTTAATTTAATGTAAGGTTATCCTAAATTTGATTTAAACAATTTTTTAGAATTTAACTTTTCTCATATTAGAAATTACAATTTTAAAATCCTACTTGGCAGTTTGCTCAGAATCAATGAAACTTTGCTTTAGACTAGAATAAATGGCTCCTGGTTGTAAAGTTAGCCTAAAATTGCTTTTGTAAAGCACGTCCACATCAGAATAGACAGAATTTTATATAAAACAGAGAAGTGCCTTTGCTGAGGTTTCCAGCTGAAATATAATAATGTTGAAGAAAGATGAGAAGGAATCTCCAGGTGATTGTCTTTGAAGGTTTTTTTTTTCAGTCTGCCTTCAGGTTAAATGTGGGCACTTCACTGAGTCTCTTTAGATACATTCCCTCTCCCTGAAAAGCTGTTCAGACCCACTCAAAGGTTCTGTGGTGAAGGATTTACCATGCATATTTTCCTAGCCTCCTCTTCCTAAGCTTATGTACGCACAATTACTTAAGATTTTTTACAACCCAATTTTTCAAAGGATGGTATAAACATTCTCATTACCCAGTTTACCCAAATTTAATTTAACGAGGGCTACAATCATAGTTAACATAATCCATAGCTTTGTGCCTTTTTAAAGATTGTCTCTTTAGCCTGCAGCGGGAAATTAATAACTACCTAGAAACAAATTATTTAGTCACTCCCGTTGACCAAATTTACCACTTTAAGAAGTGTCTGAGTTTTTCTGGACAAATTCTGATATTTTCTTTTTCTGTCCCCTTTCCTCAGTCTACCCGGCAGACCCTGACTATTATGGACGTCCAACTGTCCAGGAGTTCCCCCAGTTTGACATTGTGGAGGACACCTACTCCACCTCTACTGTCGATTCTCGAAGAAACTCCCGTTTTGGGGGATTCCCATTCCCACTGGATCGATGTGATCGGCGGGCTCCACTTCCACCATGCTACAGCAACCAGAATCTAGATGACTTCTTGGGTCCAGACGGTCTTCCTCTTCCGAGTTCTCAGTGCCCAAATGAATACACTGCTATTAGTTACTATCCCACACAGCACACCCGGAGCCTCGACAATGTCTCCTCAGGCTATAAGAGACTCAGCATGCGTCTTAGTGTAGCCATGCCATCCTATGCTGAAGAGAACAGTGCTCCACGAGGACCAAACCCTGCCCAGCCTCAGACACGACCCACAGGGCAAAGCCACCAAGGTTATGACGGCTCAAGTATGGTGGGGAGTGACTACGGGAGCTGTGAAGAGGTCATGTTTTAGGACTTAATGCACCATTTCCAACAACGATCTCTTCATTCCGGAATGTTTTATTGGTTTCATACAAGAACATACGCAAGAGTGAAACTATGCTGATTCCAGCTACTTTTCCAGTTTAAGGCAGCTTTGTGTATAAATTCATATCTTATTTAGAAACATTAACTGGAAAAACTGAAAAGGCTGAGCTCTGATTTCCAAATCCCATCATGTTTTATTGCCACCCAGATGGAAACAAACACATTTTTGTTTAGTTCTACAAGCAGTTCTATCTGGACTACAAGGAGGTATATTTCAAGACTGCTCAGCTGCCTATTTGGAAGAAGTTCACAGTTTATCTTTTAATAAAAAAAAGAATAAAATAAAATAAAAACTACTGAAAGCAGTTTCCAGAAACTATGAACAGTATTACTGGCTCTACTCTCCACTCTTTGGAATATAAAGAGAAATAAAGTAAGACTTTTTTAATGAAGAGAGAAGAGACGGCCACAGAGACTCTGTTTGAAACAAATGTGCATTTCACTACATTCCTGACTAGACCGCCCCTAAGTACAAAACTGATTAGTTAAAGCCTGCTCCCTGTATTGCACTGAACAACTAAATCATGCATATCGCAAATTGTACTATAGGTGCATTTGTGCTCCCTATCTTTGACTATTTGCAACGATACTAATAAGAACATGTTTAAATGTATTAGCCAAGACATTCAGAACTATAAAGGGAAGATTAGCATTTCAGTGTTTGTTTACTTATATATTGTCAACATCTTTCCCGATGGGGCTGGATCCTCATTTAAACGAGTGAACTAGTGATGATTACTTGTGATGTAGTATTTCAGAATGTGTTATACTGTCCTCAACACAGGAGCAATTTAGCAGTTTTAGTGTCTATGAACATTTCGTCCTGGATTGTAATATGCAAAATTAACTTTGGTTTAAAGTTTGGGATTAACTGCTGTTCAGCAATGCTTGCATCACTGATGTAAATCTGAACAATTTATGTGGAGGTTTCTCTGCAGCAAAATAAAGCCTATTCAGCCATTTTAAATTATATATATATATATATATATATATATATATATATATATATATATATATATATATATATATATATATATATATATATATATATATATATATATATATATATATAAACTCTACTTCATGAAACTGCTTTTTTCAGTTAAACGCTACTTTTGCTGCATACAACATATTTTTTTAAAAGTAAATATTTAAAGTCGATATGTGGGAAAAATGCTATATTTAAAATATGCTGCTGAAGGTTCTCAGTCATCCAGGTCATAGTCCAGGTCAGATATTTTTACGGAATACCATTAAAATATACAGCATTTAATTTAAATTGAAATGCCGTTTGAGTTTTGGATTGATCATTATGTTTGGTCAAAATTGCTAAATTCACAGCATTTTCCTTACCTTAGGTTGATAGCATATTGAAAAAAAAATACAAAATATAGACAATTTCATTCATTTCAGCGGTAGTATTTTCTACCAGGTTAAAAACTGTCCTGATGTAAGTGACGAACTGTTCCAGTTTTTCTACAACTGCTACTAAGTCCCCTGATGAAGTGTAATGAAGACGCACAGCTAGTTTATATATAATTGTTTATTTAAAAAGGAAGCTGCATGTATAACATACACATAGACAGTAGTGAGTTTTAAACACTGGCACAGATGAAAGAGGAATTTATTCAAGTTAGTAAAAAATGTAAACCTGGTTTAAAATGGATTAATTCCAAGCAGACCTTTAATATCCCATTAGTGCTTTTTACTTTTAGCTCCATTGCTCTTTTTCTAATTGATCATTTAAAAAGCATAATCAGATTAATTCTTTACCAACTACTGTTTTGTAAAATGTCAAGATAGTCAAACTGCATGTATTAAGATTAACCAATCACTCTGGCTAATTTCTATTGTACTGAAGAGCTAAAAAAATTATTTTCTACCTTACTATTTACCAGTGATTTACATGTTTTATCTTCAATCTTATGGACTTTAAAATCATTAAATTATGCACATTTCAGTTGCAATATTACTAGCCATATTTTCTTCTCTAACCATTTTCTGTCCTGTTAGCATTTTAACAAAGTTGTAAAAAGGACGTTTTACATTCTGTCAATGATGGGTCGATTGAAAACAACTCCACCTGGATGAATAAAAAATCTTATAAACAAGTATTGAAGTGTAAATAAGATTATAATAATGTGCTGTTACTGTGCAGGATACAAGTTCCTCGAATGTGTATTAGATTTGTTTTTACTTTTCAATTCAGTCATAAAGTTTATTTTTGTATTAATGTGGGCATCCCCATGTCTGTTATTTCTCTGTGAGAGATTTTATTCAAACGTCCTATTTTTTTGTTTTGAAAAGTGAATAAAGAAAAGTTATAGACACACAGATTCCGGGCCTCTTGTTGTTCTTTTCCCATTCTGTCAAAATTAGCTGTCTTGTTCAAAATAAATTCAAACAGATTTAGTGTCTCAAGTTAACTCTTTCTGCAACATGTACTATAAACCCAAAAGGGAAATGTTCAGTACTTGTTCTGTGATAATTAGCAGAATTTGCCTTATAGATGTTTTGTGTAATTGAGACTGAACCTCTGCCTTTCATTGTATTATTCTTAAGAGCTTCAGTTAATCTCTTTGGTTTATGTTAAATTCAAGGCCTTTCCATTCGAGATGCTGTTTTAAAAACAAATAGAGATCCAAAAGGTTTTGGAAACAACATTAATGAAGCCTAGGCTGAAGTTCAACTGAAGAAAACAAATTACTTGCCCTCATTATCAGAGGCTCAACTGCCTCCGACATAAACCAATCAGCTTTGAACCGCACCTCAACGAAGCCCAATCAGCATCCAGATTTCATCTTAAAAGGTCTTGAGATCCCAGACTCAACCTGCTACCCAGCCAATGTGCAAGCAGTAGCTGTGCTACAAGGTATGTCTGATTTTGACTCAAATGACCCTGATTCAACCCACCTCCATCCCCTTCTCCACCATCGTAGCAAAGATCCATCTGGCTTTTCCTTGCTGCTTCTTCAACCTCATCCCTATCAAAGTGTAAATACTCAAGGACTCTTACTGCACTCCTCGTCACGTCTCAATCAGTCCAGCAGAAGACCGCTATGTTAAGCCTGGCTCTGCCAGAGGTCTCTTCCCATGGAGAGTTTTTCCTCTCCACTGTCGTTTCATGCTTGCTCATCATGGACAGGTTTATGCAAGCCTCTACTTATCCACACTGTACATTTATCTTCCGGATCCCGAGTGAAGCACTAGTATCAGCTCACGCAGTCTACTGGATCTCACCAGTACAGCTCAAGCAGATCGTCTCTCTAACCAGTGGACTATGGTCTGAACTAACTTCATCTCTCTCCATGAAAATATCTCTGTTCTTATACACCTGCTTATGCATATTAAAGCAAAATTCTGGACTGAGCGCCAAAGTCTTAAAATACTTGTATCAATAAAATTCTTCTAATTGTCTTTTTCTTTCCGTGTGAGTTTTTCAGATTGAATTGACTCCATGAAACCTTCAGAACTTGGCTTTTTGCCTTAAAGACCATTATGAAGACAGTGAGTGTGTCATGTTGGGGTCTAAGCGTCTAACCCACATGCAGAAACACTCTTTCAGACAGGGGAAAAGTTAAATGGTTTATTTACAAAGTTTACAGAAATGTGCACAGGATCTTGGCTCGTCAGACTGGTCACGGGAGGGAAGCCACTAAAGGAGGACAGATAAGTTAGAGAGGATCCAGGAAACTTGAAGTTCAACGGTGACTTGGATTATTACCTGCTCAGAGGGTTATCTACGGTGGCTGAGAAGTGCAAAACACATTTACAATTCAAAAACACATTAACAAATAAAAAACAAAATAACATTTGAAGAAACAAAATTATATTTTATGAAACAATTTATTTTTGAAAAAAAAGTTACAATTTTTAAAAACACATTTACATTTTAGCAAACAAATTTACATTAACAAATAAACAAAATAACATTTGAAGAAACAAAATTATATTTTATGAAACAAATGTATTTTTGAAAAAAAAAGTTTAAATTTTTAAAAACACATTTACAATTCAAAAACACATTAAAAAATAAAAAACAAAATAATATTTGAAGAAACAAAATTATATTTTATGAAACAAATTCACATTTTAAATAAGTTAAGATTTTAGGTGAGAGAAAGTTTCATTTTAGAGAAAAAAAATACATTATAGGGAAACAAATTTACATTTAAAAAAAATTGACCGTTCGGAAACACTTGTACAAGTGCAAAGACAAAACTGCAAGTGGCAAAACACATTTACATAGCCAAAAACAAATTAACAAAAGACGGCTACACGGAAAGGGAATGTCCCAGTGGCCGGATGTGACGTCACGATTACCCTGACTTGTAGTACAAACAGCTCAATCTGTAGTCCTCCTGCTTCACGTGAAAAATCAGCGGCGATTTTAGATGGAAAGAATTGCACTGAAGCTGTTTTTCTTAAGTTTACGCTAACCGAACAATGTTTTCAGCCAATTTAGACCATTTTGTTCTTCGTGCGGACGGTCTCTGGAACTTTCACGGGACACGGACCAGGTGGCAGGACCAAGCAGCAGAGCCGGGCGTATTACTGGCCGGAGCCACTATTATTTTGTCATGTAGTTTTTTAATTACTTTTTTTTGGTATTTAATTATTTTTTGGGTATTTTTCCTGCGGTTTTTCGGCAAATGCCTTATTTATAGTACTTCTAACTAGATTGTTTTATATATATATATATATATATAGGCTATATATTGTGATGTTATCGCTTAATAACCTGTATTAAAATGTATTCTTTATGGGTTTCTTTTTATTGTGATGTTAGTGCTTAATAAACTGCATTAAAATTTTATAATGTCACATTTACTTGATGGAACGGAGTACTTTATCTGCGAATAAGTGGCCTCGGCCGGCAGCAGCCACCATCGGCCTCTCCGATGGCAAGCTCTGCCGGCAGCGGCCACCATCGGCCTCTCCGATGGCAGGCTCTGCCGGCAGCGGCCACCATCGGCCTCTCCGATGGCAGGCTCTGCCGGCAGCGGCCACCATCGGCCTCTCCGATGGCAGGCTCTGCCGGCAGCGGCCACCATCGGCCTCTCCGATGGCAGGCTCTGCCGGCAGCGGCCACCATCGGCCTCTCCGATGGCAGGCTCTGCCGCAGCCACTGCCACGAATTGAGCTCGGCCCTGCTGCTTGGTCCTGCCACCTTGTACCGTGTCCCGTAAAAGTTCCAGAGACCGTCCGCACGAAGAACAAAATGGTGTAAATTGGCTGAAAACATTGTTCGGTTAGCCTAAACTTAAGAAAAACAGCTTCAGTGCAATTCTTTCCATCTAAAATCGCCGCTGATTTTTCACGTGAAGCAGGAGGACTACAGATTGAGCTGTTTGTACTACAAGTCAGGGTAATCGTGACGTCACATCCGGCCACTGGGACATTCCCTTTCCGTGTAGCCGTCTTTTGTTAATTTGTTTTTGGCTATGTAAATGTGTTTTGCCACTTGCAGTTTTGTCTTTGCACTTGTACAAGTGTTTCCGAACGGTCAATTTTTTTTTAGATGTAAATTTGTTTCCCTATAATGTATTTTTTTTCTCTAAAATGAAACTTTCTCTCACCTAAAATCTAACTTATTTAAAATGTGAATTTGTTTCCTTAAATGTAAATGTGTTTTTAAAAATTTAAAAAATTTTTTTCAAAAATAAATTGTTTCATAAAATATAATTTTGTTTCTTCAAATTTAATTTTGTTTTTTATTTGTTAATGTGTTTTTGAATTGTAAATGTGTTTTTAAAAATTTAAACTTTTTTTTTCAAAAATACATTTGTTTCATAAAATATAATTTTGTTTCTTCAAATGTTATTTTGTTTTTTATTTGTTAATGTGTTTTTGAATTGTAAATGTGTTTTGCACTTCTCAGCCACCGTAGTTATCTGATCAGCAGGGGGGAACCTTGTGGGTCCAGAGGCTGGTCGGCAGGCTGAGGGCAGAGGCAGAGACAGAGGCAGAGGCGGAGGACAGACAGGCAGGTTCCAGGAAACGTTTGTTTTCTCCAGGATCAGGCAGGAATCCAGATAAGTCAGGATCTGAGAGGCAGAAGAACACAGGGTCAGACTGTTCACAAAAATCAGATTTCAGATCTGAGAGGCTGGCTCAGGTTTTGCTGTACCATTACTGGCAAACACTCTGGCAGGGAAGTGTCAGCCTCCTCCTCCTTAAGTAGGCCTCATAATCAGCAAACAGGTGTGAAGAAGTCAGCTCATGCCCTCAGGATGAAGATCTCAGGCGCCCTCTGGTGGAGAAAGTTAGACAACCTCCAGATCCCAACAGAGTGGACACAAGTTGGTAGCTAATAAAAGTGTATCCCAATGCTTAAAGTGTTGAATGAATGAAAAACTTTATTTTAGACATTCCAATGAAATTTAACACATTCTAACATTATGTATAATTAAAAATATTAATAATTACATTATTTTTATATTTAACTGCTTTTGTCTGTAAAGTGTTATGAAGAAGTGAAACTTATTTAATCATATCCCTTCTCCTTTTTAGTCCTTAACACCAAAAACTTTTCAGGTTCCTACTTTACTCATGCCGGGTTTTCAGCCTCAGGGGCAATTACCTTCTCATGACAACCTCCATATCAGGAATCATAAGGTCAGGAGAAAATCAGACATGTTTGAAATTCGGTCGGCCCTCGTGATGTGTTCGTGGGCAAATCCTGCTTTTGAAGTGGAGATACGAGCGTCTAGGGAACGATTTACCAGAACTTCCTGCACTGTGAATGTGCAGGAGGTTCTTCTTCTTATGAACTGACGATTCTGACCAGTGCCATCTCTCGGCACATGGTTTTTGGATGTGCAGTTTGAGCAGTTATATCACATCAGAGCATAAGGCTGTGCAGTGTAAGAACATGCATTGTGAGCTATGAACTTTTAAACCCTGCTGTTTCGTTTTACAGTCTGTAGAGCGATTGAAAATATCAGTGTATGCCCGGCTTTATGAGTTCATACAACTCCATCAGGTGAGCGAATGAATTTATGTACAAATTAACATACCGTCAGGACCAAAACCATTGCAAAGATTGTTAAATAACCATGAACAGTGACCATCAGAGATGGGGAGTAACGAAGTACAAATACTTTGTTACTGTACTCAAGTAGATTTTTCTGATATTTTTACTTTACTTTACTACTTATTTTTATGGCGACTTTTTATTTCTACTACTTACATTTTTACACAAATATCTGTACTTTCTACTCCTTACATTTAAAAAATTGGCTCGTTACTTTAGTTTTAAATCATTTCAATGGAGTTACCGTTATTATTTTTCACTTCATCAATACCAAATTCAATCTAATTGGATGGGAATCTA